TCCTGGGTTAACGACGAGTGGCGTGATTCGCTCGGCCGTTGTTTCCAAAACAATCTTCTCAAACAAATCCTCCAGCCTAAAATTAAGCGATAAGACAAAGATGGCTTGATTTGAGCATTCTCCAGGATGAACGTGTTTTCTCGTGTTAAGACCTTTGCAAGGCATCATTGAGGCAATATTTTGCAAACATACCAACTCGTATTGAAGCTTATTTTTGACTGTCTTGACTTTACAATGGTCTCAATCTGATAAAAAACCCAGAAATATCTTAACATTGGTTCAACACTGTCACAGTGGGATGATGATGACACCTATCAATAGCACTCAAAAACTGTACTTTTAACATTCACTAAGACATACCATTGTTGAGTGTTCTGAGAACGGCAATGAAGCAGCCCTGAGTAACTGTGTTAATAAAAATAAAACGAGACTTTATTTTACATATTCAGAGATTTTCACAACTGGAACATTCTTTTAACGATAAACAGCAAAAAAGTACACACCTGCTGTAACTGATTAATGATGCTGCTTAGTGGAATGAAGTTAAAAGAAAATAAATATTGTTGAGTCTTTTCCTAGAAGATATAATGTAAAATGTTTACAAAACAACATAATACTGCTTGTCTATTATGATATATTTGGAGTTACAGGCAAGGATGACGTCAATAACAGTTCTTGATGCTGCGTCTGGTTGCAAATACATACACGGATAAATACATATGGTGCAATGGTGTTGCCCTCTTTCATCTTTACAACCAAACTTGTTTCAACAGAAAGAACATTTCCTTTTGAGTCAATTCTAATAATTGAGAAATATTGTACAAGGAATAAAGATTACGATAAACTCTGAAGTATTTACAAACGGTGCTCAATACTAGAAAAAACAGAAGTATTTTATTACCTGGACAGAAGTGGTCCTGTCCACTGTTTCATGGATTTTATATCTTTAAAAGGGAACTACAATTATAAAAACAAATGTTAAATCTAATTGTCTAAATGTTTTGAATAAGCTCTTTGTTTTTTTAGAATGAGTTTTGGAAGTCAAGTGGAAATGTAACCAACCTTTAAAATGGGGTAGGCTGTATCCAGGGGGTCAAAGAGGACCGAATGAGAACAGAGTTTTAAACGACCTCTTTGTTTTCTATGAATAATGCAAATGCAAGTTAAATTAAATAACTTTTAAGAATATACATGTATTGTATTTAATGTTGCTCTAAGTTTCATTCCATTTATACTTGGATACCTTTTAACTGCTTCATCTTCTGTTGTGCCAACAGGGTAATAAAATACACTAAAATCTTCAAAGTATATTTCTGCTGGCTCTAATAGCAATAGTGAAAACCTAGAATATAATACAACTCATTTGCATCTCATACAACAAACAGATCTAACTGCGGACGGTTAATTAGGGTGCAACATAACAGATAAGAATATCATCAGCTATAAAAGTTGATCAGAGATCTTTTTGTGACAAACATCCCTCGTGGAAGCAAAAAGGGAAACACTAGTCTCAAACTTCAATAGGGAATGTAAACAGGGATAACTGATAAATCTCAAAAGAAATACACCTATACACTTGTCATTTTCATTATCGAAACTGCTGTGATATGAAATATTTTCATTTCGTATTCATGTGTTGTATTATTAATAAATTCTAATACAACTGTAGTGTAATCTTACGATCACGGAATACAATAAGTCATGTGCTGTATGTAAAGTCATGTACATTATGCCCATACAAAATGAGCCATAACATTATGACGATAATTATCACTTTAACAGGATTAACACAAGATCAAGCTGGTCGAGAATCAACTCGATCTTTCGCATAAATAGTATCAAACGTGGCAGGTTCGAGATTTCTCAATCTCTTAAAAATAGAACAGAAATCAATGGTGGGTGACTGACAATAGGAAATCAATTAAATACTGAATACAAATGTTTAACACTTTAGACTCCACATCGGAGATTTCGGATGCTTCAGAATTTATGAATTTAAAAGGATTACCTTTCTTTTAATGCCTCATCGGACTGTATTAGACCACAAGAACTGTCGAATGTTAATTCAGCCATGTTTACAAAATACTTTCAACTGGGTGACCGAGCCTTAGTTAAGAACAGGGTGGGTTCTCCGGAAGTTTAGTGAGGGGGGTGAAAAACTCTTTACACCAGCTCTTCTTTACCTCTTCTTCTAAATCCGTGCCCAACATTAATTTTTATGATGTAATAACATTTTATGGTTTATTTTTTAGTATCGATGACAATAGTTACTACGAATGCTACTTCGAGAGCATTTCCGTTCCAAATACAATCCACAGACCTCAAACTGAGTTCAAATTTATTCAGGAATTTGTAATTATTTTGCTGGAACTAAACAGCAACCTTATGCATTGCTATATCTGTTTACATGGTAGATTGTTATCATAGACGCAACCTTTGTTAGAATTATACTAGACGTTTCCTATAAATCTACAAAACAGGAAACTAAATTGCCATGCATTTCCTAATGGCTGCTATATCAATGCACCCTCGATCAATCAAATCGGCTCTACTAGATTCCTCCACGATCCAAAATGAAACTGATAAACACTCGTTGCATTTTGAACAAATATACTAAAAGACTGAATCTATTTGCCCGCTCTACTAACACACGTTACGAGATTACGAAACTGATAAACATTAATCCACTGAGATAATTGCGGTTTACCACAGTCCCATATAACAAGCGGTGTATTCAGCTTGGAACAACCGAATGAACTCTACTCTCTCGTCTCTATATTTCCCACAAACACTAGAGCCTACCGCAGTAGACTTCACGGCTATACTCCCTCCAAAATTACAATTCACGAACGCATGTACGACTGGAAATTCACATGTAACACATTGGAATTTTTAATTTTAGAGCCCTGCGCGTCTTATGCGCTGATAAACATGTAATAACAACTTCAGAGTTAGATTGTCAGAAAAAAATGTTCTTCAAGGACAGAGCATGACCGCACAGTCTCACAAGATCGTTTCAAGCAATCCAGATGCTTTTTACATTATGTTTCACAAACTAGAATAGCCATACGTAGATATATTGACGGTCAGAACAGGTTTAAAGACTTCGGCTATGCTTTGCTACGAATGTTGACTATTGAGCCAAGCTGGGAACTGTTAATTGCCTTGGAATACCCACGTATTAAGTCCCCGTGTAATCCCTGTTAGCTAAAATACCTAAATTGTCATTATCACCGAAATGTCCGTTGCATTACATCGAAGGTCATCAGGAGAATATGTAAACAGAATTTAAGAACAAAGAAAACTATTATAATATTCAAGAGTCAAAAAGATCTAAAAACCGGAATATATTATGTACCTACCTACACGACCGAGCCTCGCTGACAGACGCCTCTAGATTTATCAGCTTTTCAAAGTGACCAAGATCCCATTTTTCATCCTCGTCGCTTTTTGCGGACGACAATCTTCGCTTGAACGAGTGCACAATGCCATCAGACTTTTCTGTGAGCAAAGCAATCGATTCTCTTAGTCGATTCACCGTCATATCTCTACGAAGAACAAAGAGTGTCCACACATTACGTTTTCCCGGTTAATCGAAACGAGGCGAAACCGAAATCTGGCAATTTTGCAACAAGCGAAGGCATTGAATAACGTCTAGAAAAGGCGTGTAAACAAATGGCTGGACAATTACCAAATTCAACAGACGAATTTTAGCGAGCATATTATTTAAGATGTACATATATTATTTTGTTTTTGTTTCAAACGTACAATTATGTGTGTTTGTACTAGGCCGTTTTACCAATTACAGGCATCAATGCGGAGTAAAACGCGATGAGCCCGCCCCGTTTCCATGAGACATATCATACGGCGATAAAGATTCCATATTTGAACCTGTAAAAGGACAGTTTTACTCTGGAAGCATATGATATTATCTGTGAATTTTTTGTGCCCACATAAGCCAATATGCCATATCAATTTGGATATTTTTTTATCAATTATTCATCACACTCGGTTTGCGGTGACATTAACAACAGCATTGTTGAAAAGCAATGATCGTAATTTAAACAGAGAGTGACACCTCTCTCCAACTGTTAGCACACAAAGGTGCTTTTTGTCAGGCGATGTCAAAAATGCATTTCTAAATTCAAATCAAACCGATTTCAATGCATGTTATTCTAAAAAATTACCAGACAAACGCGAGATTAAGTACCTTACTCAGTAACATGCGTTGAAATCTAATGCGTTCAAAACATTTTTTGAACAGTTTGATAGTTGATATTTACAAAATTTCACGGTTACTTTAACTAAGTTACTGTGTAATTGTTAGTACAATTTGTGACCTTTATAACATAAAAAAAAGTTAATATTCTTCACCAAAATCTTGGTTGTATTTTGATAATATTCGACTTTTACATAACTTTTTGTCTTTTTCCTAACAACTGCCAATCATTCAGGTAGATTTGACAGAGGATTTGAAGTGATTTATATAAAATACATCGGCATTTTTCTAGCCTAGTATTTCGTATTATAACATACCTTTCAGAAAACAGTTTCATCACCAGATTCCACATTTTGAAGTAGGTCAAACTGACAGAAGTCACCATCCTCTTACATTGACATCAATCAATCAACGAACATATGGTTTAAGTGAAACAATAAACGTGTGTGTACCATAATAAACGCGCGTGTAACAATGATTAAGTGTGCGAGAAATAAAACGAACGTAACAACAAAGCCAAACTTCACAGAACACAATATTTTAGTTCCGTTACTCGAGTGCTTCATTATGAAAGCGGAATAACATCAGAGACGTGAAACTGTGAAAGTAAACTCCCGCGTGATATGTAGGAATCGACGATGTCGATGCTGAAATAAATTATTACCATAAAAGTCTGTATACAAGTGAACAATATAACTGATCAGATAAGGGGTCATCATGAGGGTTCAGAGTATTTTAAACGTGTCTGTAAGGCACAACACACTAAATTTCATGGCGATAGGAGCTACTTCGTATAGCTAGCCTGATGGTTTAGTATCTCTATGCTTATATGTTGATGTTTACTTTCTTTGAAAACGACAAATTCTCAATTAAGGAAATGAATAACGATAAATGATGAATTACATAATGGCTAGAAGTTCAGTTGGATAACGGGTGGGTATATTATATTGACCTGTTCCTGATAAGTGTTGCTAGGTGAGAAATTGTTTTCATCTTGATTCTATATATATATAAAGTGTTCCCACTGGGCGCCGCACAAAACACAGAGATATTGAGCCAGTCGTTTCCTTCCTTATTCATACAATACATATGCATGGAGTCCACTTGCTTTTTGAGTACACTTCACCAACCTGGATAGTGGATTACTCATCTCTGTATTCGTAAAAGAACTCGATACTCTCTCCGAAGCAATTCTCAAGACACTTGATCAGCCAGGTTTGAATGAAATCCACAGAGCTCGGAGGGGTGTAGTCATCATCGGAAGACCTACACGAGATAAACACAATAGTCCAGTTACATAACTGCGCGCAGGTGATCACGTACTGTTATGCAAATGATTATACAGTATTTTTACTCCATCGTCACTATATAAGCCGGGCGATCAATGGCCATATATATACAAAGAGGTTTAAAATCGGAAGTTATAGATTTCCGCCAATAAAGGCATTCATGTATGTATCGAACCCACCTTGCGACTGTTACTACAGTGGGTTTCGGGATTGAATGTAAAAGATGTTCCATGTTCTTGATCATTTGCACAATGTCTCGTTCATCAGTGTGATGGACAGGAAGATTAGTTGTCATCCCAGCGGAGTGCAGCTGAAATATCGAAGGGGGAATACACGACCATATTAGTAGATTCAAGGATAAAGTTTTGCTGAGGGCGGGAAAAAAAGAACGATAACGGAACAAACATTAACAAACATTAAAAAAATGCTTGTGAAAATCTGTTGCTATATCCATAATTGGTACATTGGACGGGTCACTCGCTCCCGTCTAGCCTGATTCTCTTACCACTTCATAATCAATACTTTCTCCGCGCGAATCCCTCCATTTCTCAATGAACTGCATGAACTCTTGATTAACAGACAATGAACGTTTCTCTTCAGCCGATAAATCATGTTTGTTTTCTTTCATGATATTTAGTGTTCTTTCAAGTTTTTCCACGTTATTCTTGTGTTTTTGCGAAGCGTCGATCATGGCCTAAAATTAACTCATGAAATCATTCAACTGTGTCTATCAGCCCGGCCGTGCTCCGAAAGCTTGAAATCGCATTCAGACTGACTATGCATGGCTGGCTTACATCACAAGCTGAGCTTGGCAGCGGTGGAGGCCTGGGGCCCTGTTGTATCAAGCCCGTTTTTGGCTTCCCTCCTATTATGTTAGGCCCAGATCTCCTGCGGGTTTAACGGGTGAACGCTCTTTTGTCCGTCTTAAAACCCGGTTTTCAGGTGGGCAAAAGAGCGTTAACAATACAACCTAGCCCGCACTCGGGGCTGTTGTTATTTTCTCACACCCTTACGTTTAACCTGCTTTAACAAGTGCCAGAAATGCCAAGCATACCTTGGAATACTGACTATAAGTTTACTTGGACTGCAAATGCATAGGAAGGTAATAATTGAGTTGCAAATTACGCTGATGTTTTCAGTTTTGATGCATGAATTATAACGCTGGGCAAGTGCAACCAGTTCATTTTGGGTATAGTGCGTTCACAATCAAAGCTTCAACGACAAAACGCCCGTTGAATGAGTGTCTAAAAAAAGAAATTTATTCAAAAACTTGACATATGCATGTGGACGGATTTTGCATAATCGTGGTTAGAACGTGGATCCGTTTCCTTTCTTCAAGAGCGACACACGTTACATGAATGACACTGTGAAATAAGCTCGCAGCCTTGGCCCTGGCACGAAGTCGACGGTGTTTTGTTCAAAACGAATGGATGAAAATGCAAATGCAAATATATTAAATATTGCTTCTACAGTAGATGATAATGCAAATATATTAAATATTGCTTCTACAATTAAGTTTCAGTCAATGATTGACATACATTACAATTTCTAAAGACAAAGGTCTTAAAGACCTAATTGTTTCCTGAGATCTACAAAGTCAACATGCAGGCATCTTTCGTTCCAACCTACGTGCATAGCTTGCTTTACAAGACACAAAACTTAAATCCCATAATTATAAACCTTTAAGAATACAACAGAACGTGCATGCATGACAGGATTAACATTACTAACATTCCTTTCAGTCTATTCTTGATTCTCTTTTTTCCGAGCTATTTCGACTCCTTCCTCTTGCCATTTACTGATGCTCTCATTTGGCTTTATCAACGTCAACAGCGTTACGGTGAGACTGTCTCTCATATACAACAAGAGTGCAACTTCGACGACGAAGTAAAACGCGATGCTGAGCCAGAACTTTCCGAGAATCGCATGAAACAACAATGAAATACTATACCCGACTTCGCAAGCTATAAGATCACCGATAATATTTTGGTACGAGTCGCCTTTATATTCCCCCGATGTGCCGCTAGATTCTCGGTAACGTGCGATGACCTTTTCGCTGTTTTCCAATACTTCCCACGAAAACTCGAACACGAACATAGCTAGGAAGCCGTAGCTCGGTCCAAAGCCGAGCAGATACCACAAATAGTACAATACAACTCCGTGTAAAACGTGTGTGAAACTGTACGGGTCAAACATATATTGAGAAACCTTCGGGCTGTACCATTGAGGAACGAATAATGGCGACCAACCGCCGTTATGCCAGGCCATATTTTAAACGGTGAAAAAGATGTCGATATTTCACTGTTTGCTTGTTTGAAATTTGAACAGGCTGTGCCGAAGACGCGGTCTTTTATTACACGATAACAACAGCACACCTGCCGTAGCGTCACGCACACCTGAATGCAACTGACGTAAATTTGTGATTCTGAAGCTCCCTGACGTATGTGAAGTCAAAGGTCTTTGTATTTCGCTTTTTGCAGTAGTAACAGATCTAGCCTGACCCAAAATTAAGATATTTGGTGACTAACTAGTGTCACAGAGTTTCACAGCTAGCCTAGTTTCCGTTTGGTCGTTGGTTAGTTTCATTGACGATGAAAGTAGACTGTTGTTATTCTACTCAGCCAGGACTGATATGATTGAATGGGAAAAAAACAAACCGCAAGTGTTGCACATCCGGTATTTTTAAATGCACGCAATTAGCAAAACATACCAGACAACGTACAGGGCTCAGTAACCTATACGTCAGAGCGAACGTCAGAGCATCTGACGAGCGAGCTTTGTCATGTAGCTTCAAGCCCGTTCTTCACTAGGCGAATTTGTTCGCGTGAACAGATAAAAGTAGGAAGCGATCCTATTTTTCGCGGCGAATTTTTTCGCAAGCCAATCACATCACTGGATTTCAGATATCGCTTCGCGTCACGCGAATAAATTCACCTAGTGGAAAACGGGCTTAATGACATAACAACGCAGTTCTTACGTCCCTAAACAGGAAAACAGCCATGTTGTTTTTCAACCGCTTTCTCTGACGAAATTACACTAAGTCACGTAGCTGATATATGGTAAATATTTAAAATTGCTGCAAATGTCATACTCACTGAATGCTCTTCTTGGTGACAATCAATGCCAGGGAATTGGTAAAATTTTCGCAGTTCTTCAAATTCATCCTGTAAAAAGAGTGGCAGCATAATTGCAAACATTCTGGATGTTGGTTGGCACGCTTTACATACCTTTGATTGAATTCAAAATGAATAGAGCAAGTACAAACCTCAGTAAACATTGTTTTGAAGGGATTGAAGGTGGAGAAAAAGTCCATATCAATGTCCAGAATGAAAGGTTCCTCCAGCTGAGATGATATTTGACTGATAAATAATTGAATGTCGTTTTTTACTTTCCCATCCAAGCAATCACTTTTATGTGAGGAGATATTTTTTGGCTTGTCCTGAAGGCATACGCATTCATTTACAACCAGATTGCCACCACAAGCCATCATTCCTCCAGGAATATTGACTTTCAAGTTTTCTTCTGATTCATTACCACAAGTTAACTTGGACTGCAAACAGTTGACAGGCATTGTAATGACAACAACAGTAAGTTCTTGACAGTTTTCTAAGTCCTTCTCCAATGCACACAGTCCATCTTCACAGAAATACTTCTCAAAACAGGAGACTCTAGGGGATCATATATTCACAATAAACTGCAGTGGTTTGTGTTCAAAGATCCAATAATCCCGACCAACAATACCGCATTGAATACCTGAAAAGCCTATTTCATCCCCAACACCACCCCTACATCCACAACCTCTGCATTATTACCTTATCGTTCCTTCAGACTTGTGTCGACCAACATGAAACATCAAAGTTTTGTCTGAAATCTGATTCGACCAAGGTGGCTTGACCCATATAACCTTGCTAATATGTCCAGCGTAAACCGCAGGTAATATCCAATCCGCAATACTAATAACATCAAACAATATCGCTTTGTTATAAACACTTTCAGCTTGCATTTCCAACGGGGCCATCAAGTCCGGATGGGAATCAAAATGCAAAAACATTAGGCCAGAAAATGACAAATATTTTGATCCGATTGCTCGGTAAATATACGGCAATACTTCTTGATGATATTCGCATATCCACACTGGGATTTTCTTGTACAAACGCAACTCCTTTTTGTATTTTTTGCCTGGTTTTTCTGCGACGTTAAAACGCACTCCTTGAACGCCGGCCATATTGAAATTTAAAAATCGACAACCCGCACTCAGGCAGTCAGGCTATACTCAGGCGTAACGTCAGGCCTCATTTTGAGGCGCTGCAAACAGACTAGGCCTGTTTGCAGACTAGATGAAGCATGAACCAGCCAGACTGGGCCAGTCATACACATAGTTTAAATGGTTAATAGGTAGTTTTACTTTATTTCATGATTCTCTCCAAAATAGATCAACAACACTATACCTAGTTCTTCTAATACATAAAATTTAGGTTGAAAATTCGAGCCTATGCCAAGCAAGGCATACGGAAGTTAAACCATCATAACCATCATCTATCCATTAAATCATCATCTATCATTCGTTCGCCCGCAAATTGTAAGACGCAAAACGTAGGTCTGTCGGTCTCTTTTCTGCCTTTCAGGCCCCAAGAATCAAGACATAGCACTAATATATTTACTAAATAATTCCAATATTGTCTCTACTTAGTCACTTCGTGAACGCATTCGGCTAAATACTCAACATTTGTTGAACTCACTCCAGCCACCGACATTCTGCCATCTTTCGTAAGATATATTGAAAACTCGTTGGTCAGGCGTTCAACCTTTTAAAAAGAGAAATACCAACTCTATATATTTTGTATGCAAAAGTCCAGTAAGCCAGAATAGTCGGCTATTATTATTACTCAAACCATGCCACTGAAGTAACATTATTTCCACTTTTCGAAACATGTCAATCAAAAATTGACCTCTCACCTGATCAGGTTTTAATCCTGTGAAACAGAACATGCCAATTTGGTCTGTGATATGCGACCAATCATGTTTAGACCCTACAAAGTGCAAGTGATTATTTCCAGATCATTCTGCGATATGAGCTAAACACCACTGAGTAAAAACAACATCTCAATTATAACGTTCAACGTTGGCATCACATGCAAAGTACCTAATTTCTCCAAATTACTCCTTAGTTGTTCTCTCATTGAGATAATCCTGTCTGCCATGCCTTTCAACTCGACAAGCCATTGCGCCCTCAATTCCTCGTTGTTTAAAATACTGGTAACAATTCTTCCTCCGTGAATTGGTGGACTTGAGTACATCGGACGAATGAGTATCTTCAATTGCGATTCCACATTCTTGGCCTCTTCTGGCGACTGACAGACGACCGTCAAAGCGCCAATTCGCTCGCCTTTTCAAAAGAAGTATAAAAAAGTATTAAATTGAATATTTCGCAGCATTAAAATGTTGATTATATAATGCGGCAGTGGCATATAGAAAATGAAAAAATGAATAAAGAAATACTAACCATATAAGCCCATATTCTTAGCGTATGACTGCGTAACAAAAACTGACAATCCTTGATCGACAAAGTACCTCATAGAAGAAGCATCTTTATCGATGTCTCCGCTTGCAAAACCTTGATAAGCCATGTCGAAAAACGGATACAATTCACGTTTCTATAAAACAGGTTAATAGTCCCCAAAAAGCTTCAAGATTAACGCAATTTAAAAACAGAAATGTCTTGTTCAAATCAGTCTCACTCTATATAATTCAATATACACACCTTCACAACCTCGCATATTTCTTTCCATTGCTCCATCTAGAACGTGAATGAACTTGTTTCAGGTATATTCAAAATAAGGAACGCGTTTTCTACATTAGCCTACAGCATGTTCATTTTCAAACGCACCTTTGGATCGACTCCGGTGGGATTATGAGCACAAACATGAAGTAAAACAATTGATTTCTTTGGTAAATTCTAAAAAGGCAAATATTTGCTTCATTTATGTCGGAAAAATTGCGAATATCTAATTGAAAACACAGCGAAAAAAGTTAAAGTATAAAAGTTAAGTACGTTAAGATCTTCCAAACAACCATTGAAATCAAAACCACACGTTCCTGCATCATAATATCGATAGGTCTTCATATCAAAACCAGAATCCCTAAAAAACAAGATGTTTCTATAATCCTTGGTTTCATTCTGCTTGTTGAGACTATAGTCTCCCAAGTCTAACATCTCATCATGTTGCAAAGTGTTACTGATTAATTTGTCAATTCGGCAGACAGAACAAACCTTTGAACCTCCAGGGAATCCCCCTTTGATCTATCAGGTTCAGTACTAACCGAAAAATAGGTATATGGTTTCCCCATGTAGGATTGGGCATATAAACCACTTTCTCACCCGGCCAGAATTTTGCCTGTAATGACATTGAGAATTGGTATAAATATAATTTATGTAATGTAAATTAATTTTCATACATAGTAATTTAATATGATATCCCATACCAAAAAGGCAGCACCAATTCTCAAGGCACCTGTGCCAGAAATAGTCTGAACAGTTGCATTCTAAATAAAGATTGAACAGTCAATATGTCCGGCTTGATTTATAGGTTGAGGAGATCTATAGGAATGGGACCTGATATAACAACAATGAGAAACTTGAATGCAAAACCCACAAGAAAAACATAAAAAATAGTTCAATGTGTGGAATGCAACGTAGTGACAAAAATAGAATAGGGGATAGTAAAAACATATCAATATCTACTTGTTTTAAAAAACTCACCAGACCATTCATATCTTTGCCAAAAGCCAGTTGTGCAGAAGCCTTTGCAAATGCAGGCATCCCTGCTATTGGTGCATATTCCTTGTCAAGGTTTTCTGAAACTATCATACTCTCTGCCTAAACAATAAAGCTTAATTATTACTCATACATAGTCCTTATATATGCTCTATGTTTTAATTAACCATTAGCTTGCTAGTGCACTATTATATCTGACTTAATTTTAACTAGTTGCATGAATCAAGTTTTTATGTGATCAAATCAGCCATCTTTTGAAGTACCTTCTTAACAACAGGTAGAACATATGGTTTTCCTTGGTTATCTCTGTAAGCCCCAGCACCAAGATTAACTTTCTTAGGATTTGGGTCTTTCTTGTATGCCTCAGTGATCCCGAGAATGGCATCTGGTGGACCCATCTCAATATGTGACCACCATGAAGAACTATTAAACATAAAGTGAAGTTAAATAGTAGGGGTTGCCACTTGCAAATATCTATGCATGGTGAGTCCAATGGTAATGATAAAGTGGACCAATTTGAGCAACCTAATCAAGACCATTTTTGTTCCTGGCATATCAGCTAACATTTCAGTTAACGTTCGTTTAATGTGGCCTGCGAAAGTACTCTATAAAAACGAAGGACCCCAACAGGAACCAATATATGTAATCAAGTAATTATAATCAAGTAATCAAGTACCCATTGTCCGACTTCGATATAATTTTTGCCATTAGCTTGTCTCAGAAACGCTTGCTTTTTTATATTAAACCCAAGCAACAAAATTACTCAAATGAATAGTACAACAAAATTCCACAGTACAATTTTACACGTGCGTCATCAAAGGCAGTCATGAATATGGTAGGGGCAAAATTTTTCAAATCTAACATTTATTTACCTGGCTCTGTTGACGACACAAGAGAAACCTGAGATGGAAGAAAGTCTAGACTTCAAACATCGTCCAAATTTAAAACCGATCATATCGAGAAGTAATTTTTTGTAAAAAGTCTTCTTTTCTCCCTCTTCTTCCAACTTTCTACTGGTTAACCGGTTGCCCAACCTATTCGTCCCGGTGCTATTGTTTGCCACACGGCGCCTTATTTGAAGTATTCCCATGTAAAATAAAGCACACGTGGATGGCATTTGTGGGCTCGACTGATTAGATTAGGATTATGATTAAGGCCGGATTGAGTTAGATTAATATTTAGAAATTGTCTCAATTCATTGGGTGCTATAGCCCTCTCCCCAGGTCTAGGTACAGTTGCTAAATTTTAAAAGCAACAACAAAAAAGATTTATCCATGACCATATTGATTTTCATACTATTTACAAATTGCCTTAATTTTAATATATACACAAGTAATATATACACAAGTAAATAATAGTTGTAAGATTTGTTGTAAGAGAGTTGACAAAATTGAAAAAGCCTTCCATCATAACAAGTCAAACCAATCTATAAACATATTTACATAGTTTTTATCCTGCAATACAGTTCATCAACAAGGCCCCTAATTTCCTTTGTCTGCGATCATTGGTAAAAGCGTTGCAAAGATCTCCCCTTTCAACTGCACAGCACAGCATGCCGCACCTTCCAACCTTGACGGCATACACACAGTGCTGGTGATAGTCCAAGTACCTTTCCTGGAATCATAGCATTCAACGCTGTCCAAATAACTACCATGAAGATAACCTCCAAACACATAGATACGATGGCCCACGGCTGCAGCACACGACCTTAGCCTTGCGATGTTCAACTCGGCAATTGTGTTCCACTGGTTAATCTTCGGGCAATACACTTCACAGGTTCGGAAATTTGTCTGAATAGTTGGGCCCTCAGTGTAAACATTGAGCTGACCGCCAAACACGTAAATCTTTTGGTTAAGCTCAACACCGCATGCTCCGTACCGCTGAGTCTTCATAGGCATTACAGGAAACCAGGAATCACACAAGGGATCATATCGCTCAACACCCTTCAAGACTTCAGAATTGTCTTGTCCACAACACCCACCAATGGCATAAACAAAGTTGCCACATGCAATCAGACAGTGACCCTCTCTAGCTTGCATCATTGGAGATAATGTCTCCCAGTTGTTGATGGCTGGGCTGTAACGTTGCACTGTGTTGAGGGTCTTGCCACAGAACCCACCTGAGATGTACAGGTAATCCTTCAGGAATGCAACCGCTACCCCAATATGACCACTGCACATTGGTAACAATCGTTTCCAAGGCAGCCCAGGCTGGTTCAAGTTGAGACATTCAATACACGAGTCATCAGCTGCAAGGCTTCCACCAACAGCATAAACGACATGACCATGCACGGCAATACCATGGCGATAACGAGCTATGTTCATGTTCTTTAACAAACACCACTTATTAAGCGAAGGAAAGAAGCAAAAAACACCAGCTGTGCCACCTTTTCCACGTTCCCAACCACCGACAACCAATATAGCCTTGTTACCATGATAACCAACTGGCTCCCCTTGGCTTGCCAGATCATCACTATTTATAGCCATGACATTAATGCTTTGGACTGCTCTTTTTAGGATATTGCTACTTTTTGCATACTCACGACTAGAAATAACTGTCGAGATATAACCATCAGGCAGACAGGTTAAATCTATGTAGTTAATTAACTGGTCCAAATGTTTCGCCCTTAACAAGGAGTTGTGATCGATCCATTTCAAAGCTGCATCAATAGCTTCACAATCACTGGCTGCAAGTCCCTCGCTTCCTAATAGTTCAATGATATAACTCACATCCAAACTCAGAAAACCTTTACTGTTTGTTATACTAAAGAAGCTTGCCAAAACCAGTTCCTTTGCTTTGGCTTGCAGCCTCTGACACTGGTACCGATCAGCAAAAATCCAAGTGGACAAGCAGTTATCAAAATTCAAGTGCTCGTTTAGAAAATGATTCTCTGCTAAATTCTTCAGTCTCCCAAGCATCAGGTAGTCGGCAGCAATGATCAGATCAAAACTCTTTTCAGCAGATAAAACTATATCACCGATATAAATGTAGTCGAGAACATCTTTCAGTACTTTCACATTCATACCGTTTAAACGTATTTTGTACTGTTCTCTTTCCTTCATGGTCGAATTGAGAAGTCGTTCAAAGTACGGACTGCTGGCAGCAAGTACATTTCTGTGCGCAAGCATCTCGCCTTCCTCGACCAACAAACATACATCGCAAAACGTTTCTGCCTGGCGGTACTTGTTCAGCGTTTTCATTATGGAATGGCTGTATTCAAGGTTGCTCAAATTCTCCTCGCATGTCGACGGTGACTTGCCCTGAGCCTTATCAACGTAGTTTTTTATCATCACATCCATTGTGGAACGCCTCAAAGTGGACGCCATCTTGGTAATTTACAAACTGTGGCCGCGTGTACACAGCGAGCTGGGTACCAGCTGATGATGACGTCATCGCGTGACGTCAAATGGTAGCTAAACGTCATCCAGCGACGTCATCATTATTTACTTTAGTAATTGCATTCATTTACCCCTTGATTAAGCCATCATGGGTTAAAAAAAATTTCTTATTAATTCGCTTGTGGTACATGAGTGGTGGTACACACTGACCTATATTAGATCAGTGATATAATTAGATCTAATATAGGTCAGTGGCGGTACATCACTTATTTTCTCGTACTTTTCCTATGAATGATATATTATCATTCAACAAATACTATAATACTGCAACCAGGAGACTAACTTCAGTGGACCCACACGCATCTCTTTTGGTGAGATGGAGGAATTTTCAAGCATTTCTTGATCTTTTCACAGCCCGGAGGTGCCCAGTTCTAAATAAAATATTGAGCATGAAAACATCTGAAACTGTGGCTAAAGGACCTCCACCCAGAAGCCTCCCACCACTTACCATCACAGCTGGATCACACCAGTTCAGTTGTGGTGTTCCACGTTTCATTTTTGACTTATGTTCTTCAACTATATTATCAATCATAGTCATGGCTGTCTTGTATTCCTCTGCATCATTTCTAAACCAGATAAAGGAAGAAATATATTTGCATGGCTGAGGTGATACCATGCAATATACTGTACCATGCATTTACCCAGAGCAAAGGTCTCAACATCGCCAACATTCATGTGAGTTAACAAAGTGGAACATACCGTATGGGATATTTTTCCCCAGGATCTCTTCCTAAATGGAATAGCTTTGGTGAAGATGTGTAGTTCATTTGTTCATGAGTTGTTATATTTGCCACGCATTCACCAGGACAAAAATTCACACCCTTGAAAAGACATTAATTCGTACAAATTAAAACCAGTTTGTTAAGTCTACTAGAGAGGAAATTTCATGTATATACTAACTTCTTGATACTCAGAAAGACTATTTGTCCATGTCCAGTAATGAGCTTTATATGAGCCATATCTTACAGCCATCATTTCGTCCCCACGGTAGTAAAATATTGGTCTATCAATATGCTTGTTTTGTGTTAAAACTGGGATCAAATTGATTCCATCTATAATGCGATCAGTTGGTGGTTCTACATTTGCCAAGTTCAACGCAGTTGTGAATATATCCATCAGAGATATGGACTGCTGACTCATCTAAAAATATGAAAAGTATCTCAAGTCAGAACTTTGGATTAATTCAATGACATGCATTAGGTATCAGTATATATGACTGGCCTGTAGGGGAATTAACTAGAGATATGATGGATACTAGAATATGAAACTGTAAGTACACAAACCTGACCAGGCTTAATTTTACTAGGCCACCAAGCAATTGTTGGTTCTCTCATCCCACCTTCAAATGTTGTTTCCTTACCACACAGAAACGGACCATTTATCCCACCTATAACATATATACGAACATTTTTTACCAAATTTTTATAAACTTTATATTTTCCAATGTTGGAATGAAAATTTACTTTGAGTAAACAGTGTCCATAACAAAAGTTTTCCTTTATTTCAGGACATACCATTGACCTTGGCATACAAAGCTGCTCCATTATCTGAGGAAAAGATCACAAAGGTGTTATTGTCAATTTTAAGATCGACCAATTTTTGGAGGATCCTGCCAACACCACTGTCTAGTTCCAATACTGCATCACCATACCTGAACACAGTAAAGTTAACCCTAAGAAAACAATTCACCAATGAACAACTTTACAATTAATACTTGATGGTTTCGATTAATTAAGTCTTTAATTGTATCTCTATGACACCTACAATCCACGGTTGCTCTTCTGTAGAAATTCCTCAGACGCATAAAGTGGAGTGTGGGTTGCGTCTGGTGCCCAGTACAAAAAGAATGGACCCTCTTCCTTTGAAATGAAATTCAAGGCTTCCTGAAACGGTTATTTAAAATAAGATGGCAATATTTGGAGTTTGCTGGCCATCAGTTTCTGTGAAAACATGATGTTATTAAGCCACGCTGTCCGCCTACCTCTATATATAACTGGGTTAGGTTGGATTCCCCAGTTTTGCGATTGATAGGAAACTCTTCATAATACCTTCCTATCATGTACTGATCTCGATACACAGGAATATTAGGCAATGAAACATCATTATACGGTCCAAAATGACAATTTGGTGCACCAAACCACTCATGAAATCCGTGTTTGAGAGGATGGTACTGTGGTTGCTGACCTAAATGCCTAAACAGAGAAAGAAGAGTCCCAGTTAAAGATGCCATACAACGTTTTCAGTCCAGTTACATTTGTGCCTCCCAGTTATGCCATAAGCACAAATACATCAATCACCACTTTCCCACAATCTTATTCTTATAGCCAGCTTTTCGTAAAAGTTCAGGCAATAAAATCTCATCATCTGGGATTCCACCAACAATATTTTGTGGAGTATAACCTAGAAAAGAAAATGTTAAATACATGATTTACTTCTTGCTAAAGTATAATTACTTCTTGCTAGTCTAAAGTAATTGTATTGTTTTGAACAATTATATCAAGAAATTTTTTTTCCCATAAAAAAATAAAAGTTGATGGTATGTCAATTAAACAGTCAAAGATCTAATATAGTAAACATACCATTGCGTGCATGTGCATTTGTTGTGTAAAAACCATTCCTGACAGGCAGCCGACCAGTGAGTAATGCAGCTCTAGCTGAAACCATATGAGGGTTGGTTAACTATACTTTCAAATTCCAGGGGTTAGAATCACATTATTGGAACAATTGGCATGGAGAGGGCGTATATACCCATGTACTCCGTCAGTGCCTAGGGAAGAAGCTTATATCTTTTCGGCATGAAACCCTAGAACATGCAGCTGTTATATGCACTTACATGGTGAACACAGTGGATTTGCAGAGTACGCATCAGTTAGTACCATCCCTTCACGACCCATCTTATCAATATTTGGTGAGCCCCCACTGGGATTGCCAAATATACCAAGATCCCCCCAACCCATCTAGAAAGAATGATCGGAGACTTTGGGTCAGCCAGAACAGTTAGCATGATGCAATTAAAATGGTACCATACATAAACAATTATCTCTAGATAGCACCATCTACAGCCTGGCACACAGTACATACATACATCGTCCATAAGCATCACTATGATATTTGGTAGTTTGTCCATCTCCTCAGCTTGTAAACTGCTGCAACAAACAAGAAAACAAACCACGAAAATCCTCAACATGATTGCTTTACTTTTGGCAAAATAAAACCAATCTCGAGGACTAATTAATTGCTTGATGAAAATTTCAAATTTAAAAGTGGAGGCACTGGCCGAAAGCCTGAAACAAAAAAAACAAAATGGCTGTTTGTGTCGCGGTAATAGCGAAGGAAGTAAGGCAATCTAAATGCTGAATGACTTCTCGAGTATTTCTTTCATTCACGTTTTATTTGCGGGAATTATTTGGGCTAATCTCGAGGATTTTTCTTGCTAGAATCACCCGCTATTCCTGCGTACGATGTCTCCAGAAGAAGAGTTGAAATTTCACTATACGGTGCACACCTCCCTGGACGTCGTCGAAGAGAAAGGTAGGCTTGACGAAAGTGTAATCTCGTAAAGATTTTCATGGATATGGTCTGAAAAATGAATATAACCATGGGTATTTCTTATAGCAGAGCTCAATTTCGGAGAATCGTGCTGCTTGATGACGTCATGATGACGTCACGACGAAGGTTTAAGCTTAGGATTATAATGATCAGGCTGGGAAAATCATCTCTGCGGCAGCACACCCTCTCCCAAGAGTGAGCTTTCCACCCCAGATTGCTTGCTGGCTTCAAGAATCCCGTTTTAAAAACGTCATATTTTACTATCCATTTTCATCAATCCTTTTTGAAAACGTCATATTTTATTATCTAGTTTCATCGTTAACTAAAAGCTCAAATGACCCACGGGAGCTTTACCTGGGTTTGCTGTATCCAACAGAAGATTATAAAGTGTATCCTAAACTTTATATCCTGTAGTTTATGCCTTAATTTCATGACAAAGATCTGAACAGTAATGAATCACAGTTCACTACATTTTCTTTCTTAACACAGAAAGATATGGCTATGTTACAAACACCAAGATCAAATTTGTTGTTGTAGTTGAGTCAGCCAACAACCTATTAAGAGACAATGAAATTAGAATGGTGTGTATCTAAACAGGTTTAACACAGTTGTAAAGTGAGTTTTGTCTTTGATCTAATTTTCTCTTCCCCTTAGATGTTTCAACGTCTCCATGTCGCATACACCGATATGTTCTGCAACCCATTTTATAACCCTGGGGAAAATATTACATCCAGGTTAGTTTGGTATGTTACTTATCAGATATTTTCCTCTATCATTATTATATTTCTGTTTATGATCTTTCAGACGATTTGAAAAGATTGTGGAAAACATGATGAAGCAAGACTAGAGATTCCAGGAAGACATGCTTTGTTGAAAGTGATGTCTCATTTGTAGACAGTAGAAATGTCACTTCCAATGCAGACTAAACCAGAGATTGAGACCACCAGAGTCTACACAGTTTTGCATTAAAATTGCAAACCAGGATCAAAATAATTGTAAATAATTTGCCATGCATCGATGGCAAACAACTTGATGATGAATTAAATCTACGTTGTCCCTATCGCAGCATAGTAACCTACATTTGTATGGCACAACACAAAATATGTGCTAATCATGTAATGGAAAGTTGGTCATACATAGAACACACACAATATTATCAGGAGACAGGGAAATATTTATTTTTAGCATCAAAATATACACAAACTGCTAGGTATATAGTTCCCACCTGTCCTAAGAATCATCAATTCCCATATCTCTATGATCTTTGCTACCAGTTTTTCTGATGAAAATGAATACAACAAATCCCTGATTCTTAGGACAATTGTGAACCAGACCCATGCATATTGTGGGAAAACAAATTCACCAATGTGATGAAATATGACCAGGTTTGATATTTCTGTCTTTCTCATCAAAACAACTGATCTTCCTTTTCCACAGTTCTTTAACCATCTCCCAAGTATAAAGAAACTGAAGTCAAATCCATGCTATACAATGACAGATCTTAAACTCAAAGTTTGATTACAACTTGTTCTTGAATTTGACTTCAAAATATGTATTTCTTGACTTGATTTTTTCCTGGATCTCCTGCTTCTGTTTAAGATATGGATTTCAAAGATAATCAACTTACACTATACACAATGGTAAGTCTCTCATGGCCTTTTTTATCCAAACATTTTTTCTGTTTTTCTAACTTTATCTCTTAATATTTTCTCTTTTTTATTTTCTTTTTTTCTTTTGTTTTTTTTCTTTTTTTTTCATCTATTTTTTCCTTTTTTCATCACTTTCCTTTGTTACAACCTTTAGAAATTTATTAGAAACATAACTAAAATACCACAGAAGAGCAATATTCCTGGAAGTGTCTAGAGAGGAAAGATACAGGAAAGGGAGTTCTTTATACAAAATATCCAAGTAATAATCACCTCAAAAATCCACAGAAGGGCAACAGTGGCTAAAAAACAAAAAACTGTTAAAATTAGGACAGTTAAAGTTTAATCATGTTAAATTATTAAAACTGGGGGAATGAAGGAGACAAGGCGTTTTTTTAATACAGAAAGATATAGAAAATTAGGGGCAAATTGAAACAAAAATTTATCAACTCAAACCATCCAAATAAATAACTTTGTTGTCCATTCAGTAAGGATACCATCCTCTTCGTCGAGGCCTTAGAATAAAACACATTTAGACAGTTACTTATTTTGTCTGTTTATCATATGGGTATCACAGAAAAACCATGAAAGCTATCACATATTGATGATCATGTTCCTTAAATACAAGAATGTTTCTCTTTCGTACCTATACATTCCACGTCCTCGAATCCTTGGTCTGTAACCTGGATAGTACCCAGGACTATGAAAACCACGAGATCTACCACGTCCCCGGCCTCTGGAGAATCCACGGTCTGTTGAGCTGATGCCTGGTTGGTTGGTCCTTTTTGGTACAACCTGAATTGAATTGAAATCCATATCAGCAATGACTGTCAGACATATATACACAGCAAACAACTTTGCTTCAAACCTTGATCTGTCGACCTTTAAAAAGCGAGTCTGTTAAAGCAGTGGAATTGTTCACGCTTTCTTTGTCGGCAAATTCAACGTAGGCAAAACTAAAATATATCAGAAAAGAGAAGATTTTGATGTTAGGAAAGCTATCTGGAATTTGTCAGGACAATGATTTTATCCCAAAGCTAGCTCACCCCTTTGGATGTCCAGTGTATTTATCACATAGTATCGTTACTCTGTTTACTGATCCACATCCGTGGAAATGTTGTTCAAGTTCTTCAGCAGTTGCAGAATAATCTACCTACAAAACACAGAAGAATGAGAGGAAATATGGAAGAAATACTAATAGGAACATTCTGGGTGCATAAATTCATCGGTGAAGGAAAGGAAATTGTCTGGGGAATGTCAAGATGTGCATCTTAATATAATATCATTTTCAAAGTTTCTTACATTTCCAACATAAACTGATCTTGCATCAACCTCTTGTTTTTCTTCGAGAGTTGGAAGTGCTTAAGAATAATGGACATTTCCAAAATGAGCATAAAGAGGGAAAAAAGCACAAAAAAATATAACATTCACAAGCGTTCATTTGTGAGATGTTCATTTCATCACCTGCTGTAGTTGGGCTGGCGCTTAGATTCAAAGATCCTTCAATTTCTTTCTGCATATCTTTCAGTTTTTCAGCTTCTTCCTCCATTTCCTTCACTCTAGCTTTGATTGCTTCAAGTTCCTGGTTGAAAATTATTCACTTAATCACAATTTAAGGATCATCAAGTGAACAATCGTCAATTGATCGATCATTATCTTCTTGCAACGAAACGTATGAATGAAAATAATTTCGGATGAACTTACCGGGTCATCAACGTCGTTTCCATGATCTCCGGAGACATCCAAAACATCGAGACTTGGATCTAAACTTGTTTCTAAACCTAACACACCGTCGTTGCTTGACGAATCTAACCGTTCTAATGACTTAGGCCAACTAAATTCCCCATCTAGGCCTGGAGACTCTGAGATGCTGTTTTCACGACTCCTGGAGTTCGAATCTTCGTCGGCCATAATTTACAGATTTGGAAAAGAATTGCAGATTTAGAAAAAAATAAAGACAGGCCCGTTTATTTCGCTCTTTTAAAACAGCAATGTTTAAAAATATAGACGGATGGCAAAGGATTGAAATAGTAAACAAATATAAATCTTCTTTATTCTTTATTTCGATTTTGGAGGAGAAATGAGCCTGCAGTTTTAATATTTTGACCATTTGTGAGAACGGAAGAACGTCATTTTGCTAAAACATAGTGAAAATGTTCCAGAGCCTTAAATGTTGCGAAACTTACCGAGAAGCCATGGGTACTATCGGGTTTTGAGGCATACAGGGTGAACAGAAACCTCCTGAACCCAGCGAGCTCTCCTGAGCCAATGCTCTGAACGCGTAATTATCGAGTCATCGGTTTAAAAAACTAGTTCACTGATTAATTAAGGGACTGTCAAGATACAGCCCCTCATGACGCCCTCGTCAAGGGAGTCAATATATAATATAATTGCTAGTTTTTAGCAAGGTTTCTAAAGCCTGCGAGAGCCAGTCCGTATAGCCCAGGACAGGTGAGTGAGTATGCTGGGCCCAACCTTGTTTACGGCCTCCTTCCATCATAACACATATATTGAGTATATTTTACCACATATCATTTTTTCAAAAAAAAAGTTAAACAGAAAGTTTTAGCCACGTTAAACCTACCATAACCCAATCCCAATCTACTATAACCCAATCCCAATCTACCATAACCCAATCGTAACTTTCTATCACCCAATCAGAACCTAACATAACCCAAATCTTAATCTATCATAACCCAATCTTACCTACTATAACCAAATCTCTCTAAAAGGACAACTAAATTAACTCTATTATTTACAGTTTTCAAGTGTTATTTCAGTACTGAAACTACCGTAGGTTAATAGTTAAGCGAGAGACGATGTTTGTTTCAAGGTAAGTCACTGTAAATATCAAGGTTTTTGAGTTGGCCTAGGAAGGGACTTACGGGATGTCTGGGAACTCTAGGGATGGACATGTTTGATCACTATCTACCGGCAAATAATCCTCTAGTGTATGGGCATCGCTTCGTGGATCAATCAATTCAATAGCAGAATACGTTTTCCCTGATCTTATCTGGGCTCCTTGGGTAGTTATTTCACCTGGCCACTGGGATTTTGAGGTGGCGAATGATCTGTGGTCCTTTTCCTCAGCCTGCCAGCCTTCGGCTAAGTTTAACACGTACTCCTGGTCCCCGCCCGCCTCCAGCATGCCCGGCACATCCCAAGTAAATGTATCCTGATACTTCATTTTGGCCGAACTCAACGCGGCCTCATTGCCACCTCCAACCACTCGCGTGCTTTGAAAGTAAGGCCCTGGGGAGGACTTGAGTAAGGTATTTGGAGCTTTCACGCTAGAACTGTCCGGAATAAGTTCAGGAGGACCGAAAATTTCATTTGTGTTTGCTAGAGAATGCTCGTTACTGCTGACAGCATTCTGACCGTAAGCGCTGGCACAAAGACCGGACTGTTTAGGCTGAAATATTATGTCAGCCATTGTCTTTTGCACTGAGCGTTGACTTCTGTCCTCGTGGTTCCGTGCAGCGGTGTGAGAGAGGAGGAAACTTGATGTAACAGGACTAACAGCCTCGGAGGTAAACCTGCCAAGTAATCCACCAGAATGCCTATTACCGGAGGTCGTACGCAACTTCTTGCGGGCTAACACCTGAATGTGGCTTGCGACCTGTTTTCTCGACCTTACTTTTCCCGTTTTCATATATATGTAACGAGATATGAGCTCGTTTCGTCCGTACATTTTGTCCTTCGCTGAGAGCATAATTTTTTGCCGTCCACACGGCGGATAAATTGCAAGCGCCTCTTGAAAGCTCTTCTCAATCTCTCCAGTCCATAATCCATCTGAATCATCGCTCATATCTTCTGTGGGTCAGTCGTTTTCGGCTGAAAAACAAAAATCATAAACTGTTCTCAGTGAGGCCTGATTTCCACTTCTTGTGTGAACCCCAAAGTTCTTGTGAATCTGTGATAAAAGTTGAATTGTCCTAAAGTAGACTCAAACATTTCAAAATAAAGATTACGTGAACAAAATCATGGTGGAAAAGCCGGCCGGCTCAGTGTTATAACTGCCTTCATCAAATACTTTTTTCAAGCAAATTTTTCAGCATATACGAACTTTTTCTTCCGAACGAATACATTGGAAACCGTATAAAATATTAAACCGACTTTATCAATCGACCAAAATCCTGCATTCTGAAAAATTTGAGGAGAAAATCTATTAAACGAAATTTCAAGCAAACTTGGGGTATCTATATGTAATATTAGTGCGCTCATAATTCCTGTGACAAAGATATCCGTTAATAAATAAACTGCGCTACCACACGGAAACTAAACTTATAGAATATAGACGGAATATTTTTGGATCAACCGAGCAATGATGTAGGATTTTCATGCCCTTTTTATTTGATAAAATACGATTTAACGACATATGCTTCTCGTTCAGTTATTAAAGTTAATTAAACCTCTCCTCTACATCTTCAACATTCGTTTGTGGCTACGTGTTGATTCATTTTCATGGTAGCAACTCAATTCTTTAAGAATGAGACTAAATGTGACACAATGAACGAAAAAGTCAGTGATTTAACGACTTCACAATCTACTGTAGTCCTTTCCTATGTTGAACTTAGGACATAACGGGTGCGCGCTGGGGTGATTGATAACTTCTAATAACGTTATTGTCGTTAGATGATTCAGTTCGACTAACCTTACAATATCCGATTCGATTTCAACGCTATACAGACATACCAAACCACGGTCAGATTACGGTCGTTAGCGCTCCTGAACCGACAAATGAATCTGTGTGGATATTCTCCAGTTGAACTTGACCTCAAAAGTGGATACAATATTTCAACTTTATATGTATCAAAAGCCGTACGAGTCACCTGTGATTTCGTGTCAACATTTGCATGCTTCATTTCCCGCGATGAAATCGTTTGACAAGCGTCCATCAATAATTTATACGTACGTCGTTTGGTTGCAAAACAGTTCATTATTCCGCCCTTGTATGTATGAAACCGTTAACACTGATCTCTTTGGATCGGATTCCAAAATGTATTGCGACAGGCAATGTTAAATTTCCCAGCAATGGCTGTAGACGAGTTTCATTCATGAGTTTCTCAAACCTGAAATATTTAGGCATGAAGATCACCAGATCACATGTTTGAGATATTTCAGTTCAAACATGTTTCTTCACTTTACCTTTGTACATTCAGCTGAATCATTGCGTACAGCCAATAGCAAAAACTGAGGAATGTCAAGCTGAAGTATTTTTAGTTTAAAAGTCTGCATGTACAAGCCAAAATATTGAAAAAAATAAAACCATGAAAAGCAACCAGATTTCCTCAAACAAGTTTTATTTTGGCGCTGTCCATGCACTATAGCATTCGTTTGTTTTATTATAGAAATCCACTCGACAAGATCTCTCCGAAACTGTAAATTTAACGGAATTTCGTAGCAGGTTATGAAGGGTAAACTGACGGGTTTTCTTACTTTTTGCAAGGCAGCGAGCAGAGAAATGTGTGTCAATATTGATTTGTGAAGTAGGGTCTAATTATCTGGAGTTCTGTTGTTCTTCATTTAAAGCGTTTTCCTGAAGTGCCATTTTGATTGACACGTTCTTCGTATATTTTTCAATCGTTATTGCTTTCTATAACGTTGAGTTTTCGGATTTGTCTCATGTGTGTATTTGGCATAAAAAAAATCATCTTCACTTTAATATTTTGCAATTAACGACCTCAATCAATTGCCTTTTGAAGCCATTATGTAGTCTTTCAATGTACAAAACTCATACGCAATTTGCTGGTGGTTTGGTTGAAATCATTGAAGCCATAAATTGACGGTACCTTTATAGTTCTACGCGGGTGTAAGAGAATGTTCGAGAACCTGCGTATGAGGGACCTTGAAATAACAACACGAAAAACAGGAAAAGGCTTGGAAGAGCAAGAAAACAACGATCCGAACATCTGAGGTTTTAAACACACAATTATTTAATTGATGATAAATAAATCAATAACGTATTGCTATATGCTACTCCAGTTTCTATATATGCGACAGAACAAATCCAATACAGTTTTAGACCGTATCACTGAGAAAAGAACAACCACGTTAAAGAGTAAATTTTGCTTAACTTAAATGAAATAATATACAGTGGAATATTTATAATTATACTTCCAGTTGAAGACTCACATGTTCACAATATTTCTAAATCTATCTCACTCCTATGCCGATAAATTAATCCTAAAATCCTTTAAACTTCTCTCCTTCCTATCACCTGACAATGCAGTAGCATTGAAAGTGTCTTCTTCACTTTTTTCCCCTCGGAATCTCGCAATGTGGTCCCCTATACTCATCCGGACATTCACACACGTAATCATTCGAATCCTCCAGTGTATAACATTCTCCACCGTTTTGACAAGGATTCGGGTAACATGGATCTACAACTAGAGGGGCAGTGAAACATACTTCAGACTACAGCACCATGCACGAGGTGCTCACGTGAACCAGATACATGCACATACTACAGTCTCGCAATACACCGAAAAAACCACGCTACCTCGTACCTTTGGCTTCAAGACTCAAGAGAAAACCTAAGCAGCATTCAGCTATTATATGGAGATCAGTGGCTATGAAAAGCAAGCCCCAAATAATTATAGTTCACTGTTCCCAGGCACTCACGCTACCTTTGGCCACTGATATCTATACGATAACTGAATGCAACTTGAATACCCAAAAGACTTGATACACTAAGTTGTCTTACCTGGCTTTTCAGTCGTCGAAGCAGCTCCTCCGCCAATGCAACCCTCGGGTACTAGAGAGAAGAACAAAAAACATCAGATTATCCTGAATGTGCGATACACCAGCGGAAATAGACAGAAGCAAACATACAAGTACTTCATTTAGCTTGAAAGAAAGACTCTTTGCATGCAGCCTTCGTCTTATAAAAACATCATCCAAGTCCATTAGGACTCGTTTATTTACTTGCCTTCAGGCATCACCTCGTAGATGTAATTATGATGTTCTTTTCCTACACATTCATTAGGACTGTCATCAACGCATTGTGTATAATTGGGACGATAACCCCAACAGCTTTTAGCCTTTTTTGTTTCAAATATTTCCTCCGAATGCTCCCCTGACCAACACTCGCCAAAAAATTGCAATCCATAGTAACGATAGCCTCTTTCCTTTGCCAATTCAGCACATCTTTAACGAAAAATTTGGCTTCAATGCATCTTATATCTGCAATAAGGTCAACAAGCTCTACATCGTCTCTCGATCAAGGTTCAGTTTGATGCTTCTCTTGTGAGTATACTTATCACTACAACATAGGGAATCTAACAAACTTTTAGATCGAATGATTCAATCCTTCCCGCACTAGTGTTCTTCCAAATGAGTTTCTCAAAGACACGGTAAATTCGGGTCCTCGTACTAAGAGGAAAGAGCCTCTTTAGAGTTCTTATCCTATTCATACAATACCATTACTGCGGAAAAACTAAACTAATGCTAGTTGTGGTGCACTCCAGTGACTAACCTGCAGGTCAGAGCTTTCAAGAAATCATGCCAACCGTCGTACCAGTCTATTCGGTCACGCCAGTTCAGCAGCAGATCAGGAAAATGACGTTCAGAAGAGATCCTAGTATAGGAACCTGGGTCTTTATAGCAGCCAACCTTAGTGTACTTCACTTTGCACGGGCATGGCACTGAGGAACCATTCACTATATGATGATAATTAGTAAAGATTCAGTCGAATCAAATCGTTGATTGCTTAAGCCTAGCATGAAATCGTCTCTTTTGTCGCGCAAATAGTCGAGCCTTTGAAACGTCTCTTTCTTACAGTACTTGCCTCTGATTTCTCTATCTCTTATCAACTATCCTAATCATTTAATACAAAGCGAGTAATCTGATTGTTACATCCCACATAATAATAAATATATCTCAGAGCAGTACTATAGTGCCTTTAAAGTGGGTACAAAGATTACACTATATAAGATTCAAGTTCGATAACCTATTTTCAAACTAATAATTCCAAGAATATATTCTAGAACGAAAAACTCGTACCTACAACGATTGAAAGAATCACCAAACATAACACGAACATTGGACGAAAGGCGAGAGCCATATTCCTCACAAAATACCTTCCTTATATATTTCACCGTTCTTTCTCTGGTTAGGAAGACCACAGCAATCTAATATTCAAGTGCGAATTATTCCTATACCGATTTGCGAGCTTTTTTTATATGTGAGGACTGTAACAATTAAAATTAATTGAAAACAATTAGAACACCTGATCACACTAAGATCGATATTGTAATAAAATTTCTACTCCCAAAGCGCGTGGTTTGGGAGAAATAGATAATATAAAAAGTAAATTTTGTAGGAATTATTAATTTACACAGCTAAGCTTTTTCTAGGAGCGTCTTACTTAATGTATATGCAGCTAAAGCACTTGTACAAACAGAGACAGTAAATATAAATACGGTCTTCAATTCTTCTCGTTATATTCATGAAAAGGAGCCACTTTTTTACTGTCAAAATGATATATTACCCGGGATTATTTTAATATAAATATATTTACGAATGACGCAGGATCTTTAGACATAGCTAATCCAAACTATCAATTTTTTTTTTGCCTTTTTGTTAAAATAACTTGATGTGATTAAAGGGCTCCCTAACGCATTAATCCAGCGTATTTATTGAAAAACTCAGCATAAATATCCAAAGCAATTACCTGAAGTTAAATATTTGAATAACTTAATTCGTCTTGTCCTAAATTTAGTAAAACAAAATGCTTTATCTGTTATATAGATGCGCTTTGCTCCTTCAAAATTGCTATTTCATGTATTCGTAAAAAACAAAATTTTATATCTTAGGTAAAACATTTTAGGTTTTTATCTATTTACCCATACCTTCAAATTGATCCAGGCTTCCTCGACAATCCGTTTGTCTTACTTCTTATAGAAATGCCTTGATCTTCAATTTCTTTTTCTCAGCAATAAGTCGCTTTATATACACTTTCGCTTGAGTTGTGGTGTTGAAACAAGATGCTTTTATACTTATGAGCGGTGCTACGTGGGAATTTTCCATGCAAAGGCGAATACCATAATCAAAAATACAAATGACCAATACTGCAACTTTAGTTTCCATAAAATAACAAAAGTGGATATTCTTAGATATGCTTGAAAATTTCAGCTATTCGGACTAAAATTCCTGCCAAGTTTTTCAAATTCATAACATTCGCTGGTTAGCTGTTATAAAAAAGTTTTTTCCTGAAAAAACATTTTGCGACAAAAATTGCAAATCGAGCTATTGGTGTTTATATTAATTTATCAAAATTGCAGACATTTTCTACCATTAATGGGGCTCTTAAATTAATTGGAGGAAATGTTTGAATAATCGACTATGCCAATTAATGAAAAATTATTAAGTGTACAAATGGAAGGTGATAATGTTTAGCCTGATATGAACGCGGTCAATATTCTTCATTGTTGTAAAATTCAATGAAATATATTCTCGCACGAACATCAGCAAATGTATGTCCATTTTGTTTAATTTAAATCAAAAGGTATAAATTAAGTTAGGTCAACATATATCTCAAACATCTGGTGCAGTGTATATGAATGAATAAACGCCAATTCAGTTATTAAGTAAACCTTCACCATAATATTAATAAAAGCGATTTTTTTTCGAAAGAGGAAATTCTTCAGCTCTTACGTTTGATGTGCATGTTACGACACTGACGCTCAACAATGCCGTTTTAGGAATCTCCTGAAGATGATTTCTTTTCACCGGTTTAAACGTTCGTACCCGACATTAGAAAGCAAAAATATGCCCGGTTATGCTCAAAATTAATTATATTTTTTTGATAAACAAGTTTTCAAAAGCCCTAAATTAGGAATAGTTCCCTTCTAAGGATGCGTTGCGCTGAGGAAAATGCATTTTTTAAGAATCCGTTTAGCGATGTCTAAAAATACCTGCATATCCTTGTACACAGGACAATATGCTGCATGGTTTGGTATGCTATCGTTGGCGTATAAGAGAGGAAACATATTTATAGATGTTCAGACAACGAGCATTGAGATCAGACAGTATCAGACACAGTGATGAAATCATAAATTATCGTCATCCATGACCATTTCTATTGACTATGCGATTGCCAAAATTGTGACATAATTTAGGAGCAAAGAAAAGCGGTGAAATGTTTCGATACGATTTCTTGCAAATGGGAATCTATCTATCTATCTCATTACGGTAATATAACTAAGTTCTAAATGTGAATCTGATTAACTTTGAATCTCTCTCAGTATCTTATAGATACATTTCAGATGCATTTCAAATGCATTTCAGTCAAAGTTTCAATTGTTAAGGGTCATAATAATGTCACCTATCTTCATTAAGCAGATTCCTGCTTCATCCGATAGGCATGTACACTTCCCTTCTCTGTAAACGTCTTTTTCGCTTCGGAAACGCGTTTTCTTCGCAATGGTTCGTCATTGTCCGTGATGTCGTCGTTTTCCGACTCGTTTCCATACCCTCCTCCGCCTGGAGTCTCCAAATGAAAGCAGTCCTAATTTAATAAAGACGTTTTCTTTTAAACCACATGATCTTAAGAGTACAACAATGTACAAATACATACCCCAGCTTCCACTTTAACCGATGCTTTTCCTCCCAAGTTTATTTTCCGACCATCTTTGTAGAACAAAAGATTTCGACCACGTGACGCTGAAGAGCCACCTAATTCAGACGAAAAAGGTTTAAGATACAGTTAGCGACTTAGCGTAACGTGGAAGACACAGAACCCAGCACATATTACCTTTTAATCCGTACGGGCAAAATGCCCTTCTTTCGCTGAGAATTGATAATGTCAGCGGTCTTCTGAAAATCAACTCACGAATCACACCATCGCCACCTTTATATAAACCTTGCCCGCCGGAGCCTGGATTCAGTTGGAAACTTCGCAACACCACAGGGTACCTAAAAGGTTCGAGACATTCGCTATTATGAAGTCAGGTAATGACGATATAAAATGATGAGAAAATTGTGAAGATCTTTACTGAATACACTTTGAGTTAATCGCTACCTTTTCTCAAGTATCTCCGGGTCTGTGATTCTTGTGTTCGTCATGTGACTGTGAACACCACTCTTTCCATCCCAGTTTGGACCCTGTATAAAACATGAACAGATTTGAACCAAGCTTTCTGCTCACAACCGCTTTACATGATGATTGCACAACAATTATATTTCCTAATACAGCGCCTGGCTGGTGCAAAGCTGGACAAGGATTTAGAGCTATATCACAATCTAGTTTATTTTCATTATCAATACTCACGGCGCCAGCCCCGCCAGCAACTGTTTCATAATATCCACAAGATTCGTCCCCAAAGGTGGTGTTGTTCATACAACCCTGGAAGAAAAATTGTCTTAGCAAGGTTGGACAGCAAGAGAGAGTGGTGATGTGGTACGTTTCGAAGATGATGAAATCTGGTTCGAATCGATGCAATCTTCACCTGTGAAGCAGCACATGTTTCGAATGCTCTGAAAATGACGTCGACAATCCGTTGAGTGGTTAAAACATTTCCACCAACGACAGCTGCAGTCTCGGATGGCGAGAGGATGGTACCGGATGGTATTCTCAACTCCACTGGTTTTAAACAACCCTGAAAGGAAAGTAAGGTTGATAATAAAGTTTTATTCTGTAGGACATACACTGGACTTCTAGTTTAAACTTTACAACTAGAATTTTGCTATTCTGTATAAACAAAGTTAGTTAGGAATTCACTTAATTTCCAACACGCATTTATCTTACCTGATTCAGAGGCACGTCATGGCCAACCATGCAACGTAAACAATAAATAATTGCAGACAAAATAATGGCTTTTGGCGCGTTGCAGTTCCCATAGACTTCGGGTCCGGTTCCTGTAAAATCAAAAACCGCACTACCATCGTCTTGGATAGAAACACTCAGAGCAATCGGCGTCCCATCGTCCATATAGTCAACCGCTGACAATACTGTTTGTCCTGTACGCTCTTTAGTCTTGGACCGAATCTCCTTAAGCATATCTCGCACGGCGATTTCGGCGTTCGTTTGAATGTGATTCATGTAAGCTTGCACTACGATCAGGCTGTATTCATCGATAAGTTCGGTTATGAGATCAATGCCCTTCTTGTTTGCAGCCACCTGAGCTTTGAGGTCAGATAAATTGTCGCGAAGATTTCGTGTACCGCTGCAGCCCGGGTACTTTTGGGGTTCCATGAGTTTCTCCGTGACACCTAGAGGATGAAGAGGGATGTGATGTGAAAATTGAATAAAGGTATAAAATGTATGAGTTGAGAGTCTTAGTGGAAGATTTCAGCCACACAGATTTAGGAACGCGCGAATCTTGTACGTTTTCTTCCCATGTGGACAAAAAGATGAGTGATATCTCACCTTCTTCATCAAAGACACCATTTTGAACCAACTTAAATGACGCGAATGTAGCACCTTCTTCAGTGAGCAGTTTGGAATGAGGCGGCATAGAACCTGAAGAATTATCATTGAAAATCAATCAGAGCTGGTATTGTCACAACAGCACCGTTTGAATTGAGAATAGTAGGGTGTTGATCACAGTCGATACCAACCTGGTGTTATTCCTCCAATGTCAGCATGGTGACCTCTATTTGCCACGAAGAAGACTGGTTTTGGTTGTCCAGGATAAAAAACCTCAATTGGAATAGGTTAAAAGTTGGAAAAGGTTTCATCATTATCCAGTTAGATTTATCACGCAGTGGTGTGATTTTCATCTCTCGTTCCCAGTCTTACCGGCGTAATTACAGTCAAGTCGGGTAAATGACTTCCTCCAAAAGACGGATGGTTACAAAGAATTACATCACCTTCAAAGATTTTGTCTCCCAACAGGTTCATCTGAAAGATATGGACATTCATGACTCTTACAAAGACAGCAGCGGTATGAATATGTTCCTGAATAATAATAGTTCCGTCCATACCTGACATTGCACAGTCTCTTGCATGGCCCCAAGGTGTACTGGAATATGAGGTGCATTAGCTACCAGTCCACCATCAGGGCCAAACATGGCGCACGAGAAGTCCAATCGTTCCTTGATGTTGGTGGATATCGAGGTCCTTTGCAAAACCCTTTGGAAAGAATGCACCAAATATTGTTAGATCCCAAATGATAGACAACTTATGTATAGTCATGACGGTGTTAAATTCTCGCTAACAACGGATTATCTAACCTTCCCATTTGTTCAGCAATGCTCATGAACCGATGCGAAAATATTGACAGCTGAATAGCGTCCAGCTCTGTTGTGATATTCCGCTGAGAAAGGTCTCTACCGATCTGATTTGTATTGGGAAATCATGAAATAATTTTGATAGGCGTTATGATGCATACATTGTGATAATTGTTAAAATTTCTATAGTTAAAAGACACATTGAACATCTTTTAACTTACCTGAATTTTTACGTCACCATTTTGCGTTATGGAAGCAGTACAATACGGTTCCACCAAAACAGTGCTATATACGATTTGAAAAAAGATTATATTCAGTACATATCTTTTCTAAAAACTCACAAACTCGTGTCGTTCGTATAGTTAACTGTTAGAATCATCGTATTTTTAATAAATGTACTTTCATTTTCTGTTTGGATTCCGGATTCGAAAACCTACCAGGCTTTATCAATAATAATCGCAGGTCCCTCAATCTCATGACCGTAACTCAGCTTCTCAGATAAATATACTTTCGTATCAAGATATCCGCTTTCGAAGTAACACTTTATGACCTGCAAAATGAATGGACCAGGTTATACCAAGTTAAAACGGATCGTTTTTGCTGGTATTTCGTTACCGTGCAAACGTGATGAGTTGGGACAAAAAGATACAAAATCACACGGATTCTTTTTTCCCAACTTACGTTCTCAAAATCTGGTTTGTCTGTTGTGTAAACCGATTCAAAAGTCTGATCAATGGACGAACGAGCTGTTCCTCGCACACGAATGTCATCGACAATGATTGCTCGGTCTGGAATAGTGAAACCAAATTCTGTGGAGTACCTGGGGAGATACAAGTATGCTTTTAGGCGAAATCTGAGAGGTGGGGGGGGAGGCAAGGTTTGACATTTGATGCAATGGATTATTAGCAAAAAATTCAGTTTCTACCTTTTAAGAAATGCTTCCTTAAAATCGCCATGAACACAGCCTTTTGCAACCTGAGAAAAAAATTTTTACTTGAGCAGTCGACACAGCATTGTGAACAGCGAATTGCTAAATTTGTACTTACATCGCGTTCTGAGGCAGCACACATGAGAGCGCAATCCGTCCCGTCGTAACGCATGTTCAGAAACGCTTCGGTTGAGACGTCACTCCTTTGAGGTGAAGCAAAAATCAAGAGTCAGTATGCGTTCCAATGGAACATCATGATAGGTTAACTATTGTTCCAGTAACGATCTTGTTCTGATCGACAAACTTAAAACCTTACTCGTCAAAACCTTGATCTTTGAGTTCTTTCTCACAAATTTTCTCCAGTTCCTCAATTTTATTGTCCAAATACTCGAAGGATTCTGCAATGTTTAAAGAAAAGAGTAAAATATGATCTTAAAACATCTCGCTAAATTCTAAAACATCTCGCTAAATTTCCTGCGATCCCGCTCTAGAGAATGCGGATAAATTCACGTATCTCACCTTGACAGTAAACCTTGGAGCATGTTTCTTGCGCCTCATGAACGACGTCAGCTAATGCAATCCCATATGCCGATAAAATACCCGCATATCTAAAATAAAACATAAGATTAATCAATCCATTGATAATAATCTTTTGATCAATCGATGATAATCGGGATAATTCAATTAGTTAATCATCCATTCCATCCGTTAAATTAACTGTTTGTTACTCGATTCATTAGGTAAACTGCTAAACATTTAATCAATAAATCAATCTGTCAACTGGTCCATAGATATTAAACATACTTGTGAATATACACTATTGACATCCCAAGCGACCTCGCAACAGCGCATGCGTGTTGACCCCCTGCACCTCCAAAGCACGCTAACACGTGACGTGACGTATCATATCCTCTAGCCTGAGTCAGAGCTCTGATTGGTCGACACATGTTCTCGTTTGCAACTTTTACAAATCCCATTGCCACGTCTTCCACAGACATTGGCTCCTTCCCGTCTGCGGCGAGAAATTGGTTTATCTGTGAAATGAAGAGCACATATTTGGATTCAAAATACGATCGTCTCTTTAACCGGCAAAGAGAATACGTGATAGAATAAGGATCACTTACTTCTTCAGTAAGTATTTTAAAACTGTTGTAAGATGAGTCTTTGTCTAATGGTTGATCTTCATTTGGTCCAAAGATACGAGGAAAATATCTTAACACATAACACAAAACACAACACATAAATGCATTGTCATTCTAATTCTTGGAATAATGTAGATCAGTAGATACGTTTTACGTCACCCCATCGCAAAGCTTTCTCTAACTAGATGCTTTCTCTAACTTAGGTAACCAAGAAGTATATTTGCATCCAGTTTCATATCGCGGTCTGTGACGCGTGCATGCATGCGGCATAGACCGCAATTTTGATCTGGTCACAAATACTTTCGGCTACCCAAGTTTCTACTCGATTCAAGACTCACTGAGGAAGTAATCGAGCCAGCACCAGATTAGCGTCAGTCACAGCCAGATTTCCTCCTAGAAAAAATACACATATAGTGGAATAGTTTTGACAAAAAAGGTCTTAACTAGGTCTGATTCCTAATTCCTAATGAAAGCAAGTCTGATGTTTTGCATGAAGATGCTTCGGGTTGGTTTAGTTTTGATCCCATTCCACACAGACCTTTCCGGTAACAAACAGGACCCGGATGCGCTCCGACGGACTCCGGACCAACGACGAATATTCCCGAACGGAAAAACAATCTCGAACCTCCGCCAGCGGCGACCGTGTTCACATCAAGCTGTGAAGAAGAGATTCAGTCATTGAATCGTACTCCAGTTATATGCGTCATAATATTTAGATCTCTCACCTGAGGGGCCTGGATCGTAATTCCAGCTGTCGTTGTCTCAAAAACATGTTCTAGGTGACCAGCGTAACGAGAAACATCAGTCGACGTGCCTGAAACGTCATATAGATGAATTCTTTAAAGGTACCGTAACAAGGTACGCACCTCAATGGATTACCCACCTCCCATATCAAATCCTATAACAGGTTGACCTGTTTCTTCACTGTACGTCGTTACGGCATAGCCGACCTTGAGTAAAGAGAGTGGGGAGTTTCATCATCATGATCTGCTCATCTGCATTGCTTAATCACGATAAAAAACAAAAGATACCGCTCACCACTCCTCCTGCGGGACCAGAAAGAATTGCACGAGATCCTGTGAACCTTTTACACGAAATAAAGAGAAAATTATCTTTAGAGAAACAGATTTTCTTAACGAGAATTTACGAAACATCTTAATACGGTCCGTTTCTTTTATAAAACTGAACTTACTTCTGAACGGGTGTAAGTCCACCATCTGATTGCATGAAAAGCACCCGCACATCCTATGAAGCATTACAAATAATTCATCATTACTGTGTCATTCTAATAGCCAGGGTACTTTTGATGGCTTCTAAGGCCTTCTATCTAGGCCAGAAAATCTTTCGAGCGCGCGGCATAGCTGCCTATGTTACCCCTATCAGTGTATTACCTTTCCCTCTTCTTTATATATTGCAAAGAGCTGAGCATTGTCACTATGGTGCCGTACATTAGATTTGGAGGTGAGACTGATTCAAGAACTAGCTTTTTAATAATCAACACGTTGAAATACTTTACAACAGCCAAATACTGTCTATACCTTTAGTTCATCTTGAAAGCCAGCAGTAAAGCCACTAACGTATCTTTTGATGCACGGTGTTAGGTAGGCATCGGCGCAAGCTATGAAGAAACCATTACAAAAATAATAGTACGAGGTGTTTTCCTAAGATCAACATTTATTTGGCCTGTAAGTCTCGTCAACGACAACTATCACCATGATTCTTTCCTTCACCTGTGTATCCCCGAGGAACCATCTTTATCATTGGCATAACCTCCGATGACAAGGAGACCTGTGTGAACCCGACTTCCTTTGCCAACTCACCAACTTCCTTTTCATGGTTATAGTAACTAGAACCCAATATAAATACCCAATTAGCTCTAATAAAAACACCTTCAGCTAACATACATTGTCACTGATGAACATATACCTACATGTAGGAATGCATTAGAACAACTGCCAAGCTACGAATCCCCTTGTCATATATTCTCTGTGGATTAAAAGAATATACCTTTGATGAAGAAGACAAGCAGCCATAATGTTGTAATACAAGTTATGACTCATTCAATATGACTACCTTCAAATCTTCCTTTAATTTCTTGCGATCAACATTTTCCCAAACTTCAAGCTTAACAGAATGCAAAATACATTTATCCTTAAAGCTCTCATAACTGATAGTTAAAATAAAGGATGAACATAATCATGTTCATCATTCCTAGCAACCTACTTACTTTCACATCAGATTTACCAGACACAATCCCATGATGAGGATATGAAATCCCACAATCATCCTGTGCTAAAACCAGTCTCTCATTGACTTCAACAACTTCTTCATATAAGACTTCTGGTTTCTCGATTTTCTGTTTTACAAAAGCCCAAAAAAAACTTCAGTCAACCAAATTATAAACATTAAAATTCACAGATGAAGATGAAAAGAATGAGAATGAATGTCACAGTCAGATAACAGATTGTTTCACACCAGATCAAATATCTTTGGTCTTGATTGGTTACCAATATAAAGAAGATCCTTAAATCCTTTATTGATCACCAATGCCATTGGTTCTCCTTTTCTTTCTAACAATGCATTGGTTGCAACTGTTGTACCCATTCGTATCCATTTGATGTATGATGGATTGATGGGTTCGCTGGCAGGCATTCTGATTCCAGTTTCCTAAAGCAGATAAAACAGATAATTAATATAACAACTACTGATTAATTTACAATGATGTAAAGGTAGTTTGCAAACAATTATTGATATATCTGTCATTATGTATTGATTGATAGACCATCAGCCAATGAATAGTGATCAGTAAATCATTTGTTACACCCTATTGAGAAATGATTCATTATCATCTTCAATTGATGACATAATCTATAAACTTGTTTGATACAGATAATGATCTAATCAATTGATTATATCATATTGATATCAAATCAACAAGGTGAACCTAGTGTTAATGAGCTAAAGGCTTTGTTTAAAGGTGGAATACAATCCTATAAATGTAAACAAACACTTTGTTTACATTTTGAATCCGTATATTTCTTATTAAAATATCAAGAACTTTCAAAATATTTGACACGCCAGACTTCTAAATGATAATAATATGAGAGAGAGAGCTAGAGTTTATGTCCAGAGATATACAAAACATGCAAAATTTGAGCAATTTTGAAACAAGTAGACTACTCATTGTTATGAGCAGAACCGGATTTCAAAAAACCCCAATTTTTTCAAGTCATTTGCATTCGATCCCGGCACATGAAATGTTCGACCTCTGAAACGGAGCTGAATTAGAATTACTGGCAAACTAATCATGGAATCGTGGAATGTTTATAATAGAAAACGAGTTAACGCACAATATTAAGAGAAAAAATTATAACCTGCTCCAAAATACGGCGAATTCCCTCGCGAGGTGCATCGGGGTAATTTGCAGGATCTTCAGAGAGTAATTTCATTACTATGGATTTGCCAGTGGGTGTCTTGGCGAACACATCCGTGAATGTCCCACCTCGATCAATAGCGAAGGAAAAGCCTTTAAAGAACTTGCTGTCCATTGCTTTGCGCATTTAACTGCATTGACCGGGCTGCAAGCTTGCAGTCTATGATTTAACAGTGAAGACACTGAACGGGTCACAAGATCATCACAAGTCACGTGCAAATACCAGCTTTTACAAAGTCAAACTACCACTCTTTGTTTGAAATTTAGAGTATAAAGCTGATGCAATTCCTTCGTTTTCAGACGTTTTGAGGGGTGAGATTTTTTACAAAGTCAAATATAATTAATCACATTTCCTGACCTCAAGAATCCCAAAACTTCTTTTAGAAAGAGGGTTGTATATTCAGGCTTGCCAGATTACTGAATAATACTTGTTTCCTTTGTTTCAAAAAGAGAAATCAGAAATCATATGGTCAACTACAATGTTTAGATTATTTTTTCAGTAATCTGGCATACCTGTTAATATAATATATGGAAGAGAATGCAGAACAGCAAACAAATTTAAAAAGCAATAATCCATTACCCTTTATATACAATTATACAACTAATAAAGACTGTCAACAGTCTATGTGGTAACTAAATATGGTAACCTATTTATATATACATGTCTACTGTGGTACATATGGGTTATTATATCCAGCATTCATATGTGGTGGAATAGGGTATGGGTCATAGGATGGTGCTCCCTGCTGGTAGGGTGCCATGCCATGGGGTGATTGGCCCGAGAGTCCTTGATTTCCGATATAAGGTTGGTTTATTGGTTGCTGTGGATGGCCTTGTTGGGACGAATGCATCTGTACAGGGGGTCTGTTGTAACCCATTGCAACACCTTGCTGCATCATAAACTGTTGTCCTTGTTGCTGCAAACGAGTTGCATGCATGTTCGGCATGTAATTTTGCTGCTGTCCTGGTATTGACGAATTTGTGGCACCCATACTTGGTGCTATCATTTGATTGGGTACATTACTTGGGTAACCTGTTGCAGTTGTTGTACTGTTATCCAACGCTGAAGGGCTCATACTAGCATTCCCACCTGAAAAAAATGTATCAACTGTAAAAGAAGTTTTCCTTTGCATTTGACATTGTGGCAAATATTGTGATGGATGTTTTGGTGTTTCTTACCATATGGTGTTGGCGTGTTACCAGTGCCATCAACTTGCACAGTGGTCATTGACTGTGGAGCCGTGTGCATGGTACTTGTCATTGGTGATCCAGCTGACGAGATAACTTGTGATGTCATGTTGTGTATCGCTGTTGAACCTTGATCCATAGATGTTCCTGGCAGTATCTTTCGGTCCTGTATATTGACAGGTACATTGCCACTTGGTACACCCATTGTACCTGAGACAGGCGTGGTACTAGGTACCCCAGTTGGTGTTGGAGCCTGGAAGAACAAGGACATTAGATGCTTACAAGTATATAGTTGAAATACGAGCAATTTAATACAAAAATAATACATAAAAAACATACAGGTGGAATCATAGCTTGAATATTCTGAGTTGAATCAGCCAGGCTGGCCAAATACATGAGATTTTTGTGAAGAAGTTGTTGGTATCTAAATTTAAGTGAAAACAATGTCAAAATCTTAAACACCTTTTTATCAGTATAACTTCATTTTCACAGTATATTTTTGTTTTGATTTCTGTTTTAACTTACTGAATACATTCAGCAGCTTTTCCCTTGTTTTGGTAATCCACTATAGCCTAATGTATCAATTTGAATTAATAGGTAATTATGTGGGGAATTACACTGATAATTAACTAATTAGAACAATCATTCAATTAAATTATAGTATGGCATTGAAACTTATTATAGCAGAAACTAACAAATACTTGTAAATTTCACCTGAATAAGTTGTGCATTTTCATCAAGGAGCTATAACAAAATCGTAGTCGTTACAAGTGAAAGAACTCTTACTTAAAAACACGTGTTTATAGTTTACATTTTGCTACAAGTAAGATTCCCAATATTTGTATTAAATCAAATGTACACTTTACCTTTTGAACACTTTGAGGATTGCCTCTTATCCGATTCCCCCACGACATGTCTACTTTCCTAATTTATCGAAGGACTATCTTTTATACCAAAAGTATTTCATCTTCCGTTTCTTTTGCATTCACATTTTTGAAAACAGCAACAATTGCTCACAACTTCATGTTATTCACACTATAGACATGTCTTTTAGAAAACTAGAGGGGGGGAACTCGAAAGAATTCTAAAGATTATCAAGGAAGATGAACAGTTTTTAATAAAAATTTGTGCAAGAAACTAGCGAGCTTTTAAAGTAATAAATTAATGCTATCAGCAGTAATGAATAATATTCTCTTTTGAGCTCTTCAATATTTGTTAAAACTGCATCTTTTTTAGATGAACTACCAGTTGCACCCCCCGGAAATTCCTAAATGAATTTTAGAAAAATAGAATACAAAATGGCGCACACTCAACGACATTCGGGCACGCCAATTTCTAAAAACAAACCAAAAATTGGCATGGGTTCCATCGTTTGCAAAGAGGCTGAAATACGGGGTGAAGTAGTGATCGGTTCAAAAACGGTTATTCACCCGAAGGCACGTATCTTGGCTTTGAATGGACCAATCAAAATCGGGGATGGTAATTTGATAGAGGAACAAACGTGTATTATAAACCAAGGTGACAATGGTGAAGGTGATTTGACTGTTATGGAGATAGGAAATAATAATTTCTTCGAAGTTGGAAGCCACTGCGAAGCAATCAAAGTTGGCAATAATAATATACTGGAGTGTAAGTCGAAAGTGGGTCAACAGGTTATTTTGGGAGATGGTTGTGTGATTGGTGCCTGCTGTGAATTGACGACGAATGAGACTTTACCGGACAACACAGTGGTGTTTGGCAAAGACTGTCAGAGGAGGGTGCAATCTGAACGACCACTTGCACAAACATTGCAATTGGATTTTTTGACTAAAGTATTGCCTAATTACCATCATTTACAGAAGAATTCAAGAAATTAGATATTATGTGATTTTTAGGACAGATAGGACATTGTTGTAAAACATATTGCCAAACTATTTCATTATAATGATTAACAAAATGGAAACAATGCAAAAACCATTGATATTATATTATAACTATGATGTTACTACTAGAACAATAACCTGTATATTACAAGCATATTTAAAAATATTTAAAAATCATTTTTTTCTGCAGACTATTTCCTCTTGAGTGGCAAAATTAGTGATCACCAGGGGGGAGCGCCCATTGTGAGAGCAGACATGTAGGGGGGGGGAGAAAATGGAAAATTTGTTGCTATGGCGCACGCGTTACGGTCTAGCGCTACATAAAAAATAAAAGTTTTTATCAAATTTCTGTGAATATTGGCATATTAAATAATGTTAAAAAATGGCAGCGATTTCACTAGTACAAGAGAACCACTCCGTAACATGGGAACATCAAGACCTTGCCCAGGTATAAATAGTTAAAGCCTAAAATTTATATTGCGAATCCGATATTTGAGTATCGTCTGTACCGACCACTGGTATCGACATAATTTAATATTTTTTTGCCAGGTAAAAATAAAAGTACTTCGTGGTCACTTAGACAGTGTGAATTCCTGTCAGTTCTTTGAGAACGATAGCCGTGTTTTATCGTCTTCAAATGATCAAACAGTTCGAATTTGGGTGAGCTTAAATATTTCTGTACTGACTGTACATAAACATCAAACATTGTAAAAATATACTTGTAGCACAAAAAAACAACAAACTGTGTTTGTACTCAGGCAACAGAGTCAGGAAAGCAACTAAACACTTATGATGGACACACATCATTTGTGACAAACTGCCATGCAGATGACTGGAATAAGAGGTAACATGTTTGTTTTGGTTCCATCATAATGTCCAAGGTATAATACATGCATATCCAAAGCTAATTCAAATGCAATAGTACAAAATCTTTTACTTACAGACTAAGTTTTCCCATCAATAGCACATACAGAAACTGCTATCTTTAATACAGAAAACATTCCTTGCTTCTTTGTAAAGAGAATATCTAAACCAAACAACACGACCACCATCTTCTTTTGCAATAGAATGGTGTCCGGAGGTTGGGACAAACAAATGCTTGTAAGAGACATTGCTACTGGACAAATCTTGGTAAATTTTATTTATTCTAATGCACATGTAAAAAAAAAGAATTAGAGGCCAGGTTGCATAAACCTGGGGTCAAGTCAAGGCTGTAAAATAGGCTACAAGAGTAAATAAGTCTTGGTTTTTGTATTTTTTAGTGGCAGGCAAGTCATGAGGGAGTAATAACTAGTTGTAATTACTCAAATGATGGCAAATACATTGTAAGCGGTGGTGATATGGAATACTCTATTAGTATATGGGATGCTAAAGATGGTGTACTCATTAAAAAGCTAAAATGTAAGTATATGTTTAAAAGAAAGGACCACTCTGAGTGTTTCAGAGGTTTCACAACCAACACTCAATTTGACAGATAATACGAACACCATCACAAGCTGCAAGTTCTCCCAAAGACAGCACCGTGTCACAGTGACATCCATGGATAGAACAACCAGAGTGATTGATATGTGTATGTACCAGGATGAATATACAGCCAGTTTAACACTTAGGTACAGCCGATAAAATACTTGTAATTAATACACTGGGCAGTCCTGTTGTTAAGAGTTTATAAATGCAACCAGACTGGCTGTTATTTTCTGCAGAGGACATGGAAATGTGATATCTGATGCATCGTTTTCCAATGATGAAAGAATACTGGCAACTGCTTCATGGGACAAAAATATTCAACTATGGGATGTCTCATCAGGAACATACAGGTGTAGTAGTCATTGTACTGACACTAAGACTAGGAAATACTTGCACAGACAAAAAAATAGAGAATATAGATCATCATCCAATGAAAAGGATATATTAGGTATTTTCTTCCTGTCATTTTAGAAAGACAGGGCCAGTCACACTCAAAAAAGGTCATGAGGGTTCGGTCAGTTCTTGCAGTTTCAGTACAGATGGTATGTCATTAGCAAGTGTATTTTAAAATAGGGACAAAAATTGCTCCAAGTATGTACTTTTTATTGCAGACATGATGTTAGTATCATCATCATTCGATCAAAATCTTGTTGTTTGGGATGTCCCAAATTCTGTGCAAAAATTCTCACTTAAAGTAGGTCATAATCTTTCCTACTAAAACACTTCAGTGGTGCATCATTATAATCTTGTATGTGGTGGCAGAGAAGTTAAACTTTGAAAATGTTTCTACGTATATCCTAGGGCCACAATGGTTGGGTTAATGATGCTTCATTCAGTAAAGATCAAAGATGGGTTCTTTCATGTTCACAGGTTGGTTATACAATCAAACTATTTTTTTCACAATTAAAATACTGTTTTTGCATAAATATACACGTTGAATCACATTTTGTTAATTAAAGTGCATGTTCATTATTAATTATTGTGGATTTCATGCTTTGATCGTAGGATAAAACTATCCGACTATGGAATATTGAAAACCTTGATGATCTGCCAGTTGTTTTAGAGCACAAGAAAAACATTGGACTAAGAATAATTGAGGTATTTCAAGTACAATTTTTCAATTGCATAAAACCATCCCTTTCATTGACTCAAAACAATCATTTTGTTGCCAATTTTTACCAAACTCAGTTAGATTGTTTTCCATTCACCAGGCTGCTTTAACCTGAATCTGCATTTTTATTTCAGTGTCAAAAATGCAAAAAGCAATTTTCCATCACTCAAGTTGATAATGCTGAGAGGAAGAAACTTTGTGTGTTTTGCAGACTTGATACTCGTACACTACCATGACCTCAAGCGCATACTGGAATGTCATGGATATTTGTATCATCTTACATATGTATCTTGCATACTATCAGCATGACATACCCAGACCTAGATACCATAATTTGCAGTCATTGAAAAAGGCTTAACTTTGATTACCAGAGCCAAGTATGGTATCCTTTCGTGCATATCTGTTTACCTCAATATCAATCATACCAGCTTCATCTGCCAATGTGGGCATTTTCCACCATTGGAGAGCCATTCTTTTTTGTTCTTGAAAATCATTTTGGTGGAGAGGAGAAAAATGATTTGATTGTTTGTGCACAAGCATCACCAACCACTCTTGATATGTCCTGGAAAAACATTTCATTTCTCAATACTAAATTTATACCATATTTTTTTAATAAAACAATTTATTTAAGACAGACACAGTGACATATTTTGTGCAACATGTCTTTTCTATGTAGACCTAGCTTTACCTGTTTTGAGGCTCCACCCAATTCTTTCAAACCTAAAAATCAACATAACAATTCAAATTTAACAAATTATTGTTACATAGAAGCATGCAAACATTGACTGAAAACATACTTGAGAATCTTTGCAGCAAAGCTAGGGCTTTCTTTTCTCCCAAGCCAGGAACAGTTTGTAGTGTATCTAAAAGTGTCTGGTCTATTGGTTTTTGAGATTTCTTGATCAAAAATGGATTGCTTCTTGCATCACCAATCACATTCACCTTCAAAAAATAATTAGGTATATATTCTACTTTCTATTTCTGTCTAATTGTAGGCAAGACTCGTTTAAACCAGTTGAGTTCTTCTTAATATTTATTGACAATGTCAATTTACCATTTGTATGAGGAATTTGGCAACCTCTTCCTGCGAGCTGACAGGGTAGAGATTAATACCCATGTTGATGGCTGTGAATTTCTGAAGCTGTTCAACATACTGGTCAGTCATTGCTGTTTTTTCATAAAGCACAAGTGCACGGGTAGTCTGCACCTAACATTGCAAAGAGGCAGTGAACCTCTGGTCTGAATGGTATTGGTATTTTCTATCAATTTGGTTCCAAAAATCAATGAAGAGTTAACTAAGTTCCCTAACCTTGGCCAACTTTATGATTCTCTGCTTGTAAGTAGTTCCTGTTATCAATTCGGACTCATTCAAGAATAAAACACCAACATCGACTGATGGTCGGAAATCCATAAACCCAAGATTTTCAAACACCACATTGACACTCCCTATAACAAAGAAGTTAACCATCAATAAAAGACCATAGCTCTGTAATCCCAGCACTACAGTGTTCAAATACTTAACAGAATAATAACTACTACCACCAGTCCACCACCAGTTTACCATCACTAGTTTACACCTTACAGATATCGATACCAACCAAACTAACCTTGTAAAACCTTGACAAGGAGTGATCCTTGATATTTCTCATTGACCAACACATGTCCAGGCAGGATGCGAACAGAACCAGCAGCTTTTTGCGATGAAGTCAATTTTTTAACTTCTGTTCTGTTCAATTTACCCGCCATCAATGGTGTTTATAAATTCGTCATGATATCGGAACAACTTCGGATTTTCTCGGCAAACCTTAACAAAATTGAAATTATTTTTTTATTCTTTATTTTCCTTTTTAAGACTTGCCCTTTTTTATTTATATCTTACTGTTGGAAGTTCTCTTAAATAGATTTATTAGATTATATCAGAATTCGATGTGTTTTTTAAAACTTTTTAATTACTGTAACATTTTCCCGCGAGAAAACGTGAAGCCACTTCATTTTTTTCACTTGAAGTATTGACATCTTCTCAGAGATTTTTTCAGTATTGTTTATATTTATTTTTAATATATTATATTAACGAACATATCGGAACTTTAATTGTTTTTATAAGTACACGATACAAAAAAAGGAGTATTTAAAGAACTCCTTCTACGTAGCAACTTCAGAAAACGGAATATTTATTCATATTTATGGCTGGGCAAGCATTCCCCACTGATGGTTACACAGGCTATTTCTATGGTAATACAGCAAATTCATATGGTGGGGTCTACAATCATGGAGCATATCAAAGCCAAGGAACTTATGAAGAACGTAGCTGTTGGCGCAAACTTTATGACTATCAATCTGGTTATTGGTATTACCAAAACTTATTGACAAATAACACCCAATGGGAACAACCGGAAGGGTGGGACTCTTGGCCAATTAACGGGGAGGTGGTCCAGAAGCAAACAAATGATGATGTTGATGGTGAAAAATCAGAGTTTTCTTTCTTTCGGCAAACTTCAGAGGAGATTGAAGCAATGAATGTGGAATATGTGAAAAGAAAAGCAAGACAACAAATTGATCCTGAGAAAGCAAAGAAAATACACTGGAGACCTGAAGGAGCGAACGAGTACAACATATGGTACGATAAGTGGATTGGAGATCATTGGAAGGGAATGAGGGATGAAGGTGGGTAGATCACAAGTTCTTTGGTTGTTTAAAGAAATGAAATAAGAAAGAATATAGATTGTGATAGTTGTTTCTTTCTAGGCCCAGCAGAGACAAGATGCTGTGTTAAGAAAGATGCCGGCCACACCAAGGCAGTACTTCTTGATCCCAAACGAAAAAAGACATATTTTTGTATCTATTTTGCCAGAGGGTGTTGCCAACATGGTAGTGAATGTGGCTACTACCATCTGGTACCATCAGATAAAGATGCAAAAAGGTACTATGGCATGAACATTAAAGACAAAATTCCCCTACAAAATTCCTAATAATAATCCAATGTTTCAATCACAACAGGATAGATATGGTGCATGATATATTTGGCAGAGAGAAACACAAGTTACATAGTGACAATATGGGTGGTGTCGGATCATTTGAGAAGGATTGCCGAACATTGTATGTGGGTCGCTTAGGCAGTCACAGGGAATTGGAAAGTCTTTTATGGAAAGAGTTTGGGGAATGGGGTGAAATAGAGGTAATAATGAAGAAAAACATCCACACTTTTGTTTCAAACTAATCGGCCAATTTTTCAGGCTAAACCAAACTGAATGCCTAAATATTTAATATTTTATGTAAAATGGTAAATTATGTACCTTTTTACTGCAAGTAGTCTATATTTATGTACTCTGATTGGTCTAAGATGAAATTCCTTGTTCTAAATCTTATTTCTATTGCACAATCTTATAGGATATTAGAGTAATAACAAAGCGTCAAATTGCATTTGTGCGATACAAGAACAGAGTAAATTGTGAATTTGCTAAGGTACTGTCCGAACATTATCAAACTCTTCATGTCTTGATAATTTGAGATGTACTGCAATTTTTTAAATATTTCACATTAAGATAGCAATGTCTGATCAAAAACTGGATGGTCAGGAAGTTCTAAACATAAGATGGGCCTATGATGATCCAAACCCCAGAGCTCGGAAACAGGTTAGTCCACCTAATTTTAGAGATCAGTTTTAAATGTCAACTATACATATCACCATGGTTACCATTATGTGGACACAATGATCCTAATCTGAATGTGTGAAAACAGGTGAGTACATCACAAAATAAACTTTGTCATCCCAAGACACCATACATGGTTGCATTGCAACTGCCCTATTGACATTTGGTATTGATAAATTCCGTTGGTAGTTTATAGTTTACTTTAGTTCACCTCACTCTGATTTAAAAAGCTTTCAGTATAATTCTTTCTAACAACCTAGAGTTCTCTAAGTTTATCAGGTTTTTCTGACACTAGAAAAACGCACAACCTTTGCACCCAAATCTTCTGTGTCCGCAATTTCATATCATCCAAGCCAGGTGTGGTTACCTAATGTTAGAATTACAGTTAATACTATCCTTAATTGACCGCAGAAAACCGAAGACGATAGAGACGCAGTACGCGCGGCGATCTATGAAAAACTGGATGATGAAGAGCCTCAACCAAAACGTCTTCGTAGTGAAGGGATTATAGGCAGTTACCCAAACACGGACGATCAGTATCCTGATTCTGCTGGACCCCAAACCAAGGAACAATATGAACAAGTATGTATTACTGTAGTACATAAGCGCATCCCTCCTGTTTTACGTTGCTATTATCCCCTCCAATCCCTGCCCCTCGTCGAGGTACTGTTCTATACTCTATAGTCTTAGTCCACTATGATTCACCAAAGCACTAATGACTATAGTCTACAGATAGTTTTCCTCTGTGTAACAGCGACAACATTCATTTTAGGAGCAAATATTACAGCAAGTTAAAGTGGATTGCAGCAGACTAGACGAGGCATTCAAAAGAGTTGAATCAAGCAGTTACAATTAACTGTTATAATTCTGCGTGATGCAAATTCTCATTTTGGATTGCACGGCTCTAGAGCGTCCTGGTCACTTCTCTAGAGGCTTGTTTGAAGTGAACGCAAATTATGCGAATTAGTAACCTACTCGGCCATATGGAAGTGCTTTACCTCAGGCAGTCAAGTTTTACCATACGAAAGATAAAGTAGAAATGCTGTTGTAACGTCATACTTGTAAAATACTCAACTTGCAATACAATGCTGGTTATACATGGTCTCAATGAGACGGTTCATTCTCCCACGACAAATTTAAAGTTACGACATTGAAAAAAACTTTAAAATTATAATGCGCGTCTTGTTAATAGAAGAATGACAATATAATCACACATCATCATAACTTTGATAAAAACTTTAAAATACAATTAATAAAATATCAGCAACGATAGCGATAACAATTCTCTGAGTCATGCCAATAAAGAAATTCGACCTTAATTATCCTTTGTTACCACTTCAAAATAGACCAGACCGTAAATTTCAAGCATAACCGAGTTTCAATATTCTGCGTACAATTGTTCTTCGATATGTTTTCTTCGAAAAGGTTTAATATCTTTCCATAACTACCAACTGAAACATCGGTGTTTAATATCTGGCTTGTGGAGGGTAACTATTGGGATAGGTAGCACGATATCCACCACGCATGTTCATTTGTCCAGTAGGAGGGTATCTTGGGTAACCAGCACTCCCGGTGGGTGGAGGTGCTCTGGGGGCTGGTCCACGTTGTTGAGCGGGCCTGGGTGTTGGGCTACGATATTGAGCCTGTGACTGTACAGCGGATGATGGATACCCAGAGTACGGAGAAGTGGAGGTTGCCCCCTGAGCGGGGGTAGTACGGGCTGGGGTGGCATTCTGAGAAGTGCCAGCACGCATGTTCGATAGAGCCAAACTAATGGCGTTGCTTGTTTGTGAGGTCGAGGCAGGCACACTGGGAGCCTTAAATGCGGTGGACGCAGTGTGTGATGGAGTCAAAACTGGTATCGACGGTTTGGAAACAGACTCTGTCTTGTTTGTAGACACCTTTGTCTCTGTGGTAAGCTTTGAGGTCGGATTGAGGATGCTCAATATTTTTGCCTGCAGTTCAGCCTGCTGTAAGGCAATCGATTGTGGATCATTGTTGTAGGGTTGATACGCCGGACCTGGAGATGAAAATGTTCAATTTTTTAGCAAATTTAACTACATTTGGTAAACGTAAAACCATCACTGGTTCATATTATTCAGTATATTCATTTACTAACACTAAGCTTATTACAAATAGATACAAAATGCTTAGATTTGTCTTGTGACCTTATTCGCCTACAAAACACATTTGAAACTGGTGTTTTCTACCGTTCAAATAAATCTATAGTATGAAATGTAAGTGGAATAATTTCATAGCATCTTTACATCTGGTTTAGGGCAACTCTTCCATGAATGCCCTCTTTAGAAAGAAAGGCAAAAAATCATACCTGGTTGTTTTTACTTACGAAATACTGCGTAACCAAAAGCCTTTCATACACTCCAAAACTCCACTTAACCATTCATCGATGGTCAAATATCAATGAATGTTCTAGGCTTGAATTTAATGCCAAGGTGGTGTTATCCCATTTTCTCGAAAATTACACGACTTATGGTATTTACAATAATACTTTTAAAAGCTCTTGAAAAATTACTTCTCTTTTAAATATTCATAGAAATCTCACACACAATAACACCCTCCAGTTCAAATATCAATAACTAACAAAAATGATGCATTTTGTATTGACAAAATCAAATGGACTTTCTATACAGTAACTGGAACCATCACTCGATTCAATGTTAAAATCGATGATCATTGACCACACGAATTGGCAGGAAGGAGTTAGAGCTTTGGGCCCTACCTTACCTACACTGGGGTACCCAGTACCTACCTGTGGACGAGGGTGGTACTCTTCCTTCTTTTTTAAGCAAATCGTTTCGAAGCTTGGTAAACTCGTCTATGACCAACGAATACTCGTCTACGGTTAGCGGTCTCCCGTCCGCCGCGATGTTTAAAAGAGTGCTAACCTCACGACTATACGGCGAGGGTACGATTGAAGATACAGCACCGGGGGTACCGGCGTAGCCCTTCTTCGGTGCGAGGGGGTCGCCGCCGCCAACAGGGGGCGGCCCCCTTTCCCGGATTTGCTCACGATCTTGAAGAGCTTGCATATACGTGTCAAAATTACGACTGACAAGAAGTATTGCATCTGCTAAAGGCATATTCCTGTGTTCTGGAGAAAAATTGAAGCAAAATTTATTAGCATTGTTCGAGTGGATTAAACAGCGCAGAGGATGTTACATTATATCGCACAGTATCATCATAATGGGCTTGTACATGTACATCAAATTGCTTGCAACTTAGCTTCTGTAGTTATCTTTACAATAACAATCTAAATAGCTTGACTGACAAAACTCACAAAAGATATTTTCCTGGTGAAGAAGGGATATTTACAACACTAACGTTTCACAAGACTGGGAAACTATTCGGACCAGTTAAAAACATCACTTCATTGAAAAAATTCTGTCTTGTGTTCCCAAGTTTAGATGCTGTGATTACCTCTGGATACATTTAAGCCGAGGTCTTCCTGATGGGCAAAGGATGATCGCTTATTCCGGATCGATTATTTACTCAAAATCTTCCAAGAAAAGATCCAAACAGATGATTCAAAAAGTTTAAAAACTGTGGAGGGTGAGCATTTTTTAAAAAGTTCCAAAAAATAGGCTTCGCTGCACAAGGACATACGCTGTGAGACAGAAAACTACTCGATCATCAAAATAGTAAAACAAAAAAATCCATTGGAGTTGTGTTAAAAAGATATAGCTTTAAAAAACAGTCAAAAATGGAAACAAAATATCTCACACAAAAAAACTTTCCAACGCGCTTGCTTAATCAAAATGTTTCACCAAAAAAAAGTTGAAAAAAAAGCTGAAAACAAAGGCTGAAAGTCTAGTCTTGTTCCTTTCTTATGATAATTTAAAAAAAAACACGAAAAGTTCCCAACTTCAAATCCAAAAAAAAGAAAGAAATACTTCGCCAAAAAGCCAACCCAGTTGGAATATGATTTGAGTGCAAAGCACTAAAAATTCTTGCAAAACAACTCTGAGGATTAAAGACGATTAAAGGGTATATCCCACTGATGCTGACATTAATAATGTTAAATTTTTAACTAGATATTTTAGTTTAAAATATCTCAATTCTTTTTTTCTGCGTTGCATCTTGTTTTATTAAACATTACAGACTGTTCGTATATTGCATTTTGTGCTTCATTTACTCTTTCAAACACAACATTGGATCACATTATATTAAGAAGATTACAACACTTACCTTGTTGTGTTCCATGCAAGATGTGAACAGTCACAGAGCGATGTACTTCATGTTGGCTGCTGATAATGATTCCAAACAAGACTCCCCGCTTGGATGCATCCTCCAGTTCATCCAACAAGGGCACGGTCTCAGGGAGGTGGGCACACTCCACAACCAAGCCATAGGATTTTAATTTCTTCTCCACAGATTCTGCATACGCCCTGGAAATAAATAGATATGCTCAAATTCTATATCCTATGGCAGTCATTTCCAGCTAGTAACGGCTAGTTGTGTTGTGTTATTTTCATTCATGTCAGGCAGATGACTGACAGCTTGCCATAGTTTTACGCAAACTGTTAATGAATCTCCTGTTTTATCTTGCACTTAGGTGAAAGTCTGTAAGCTACACAGAATGCTTACAAACGGCAAAACAAGTGCATGGAAACTCCTGTTCCCCTGGTTAAGGGTCCGACTCCAATGAAAAGCTACTGAAATTGGATTATTGTAATCCAATTATTGCAACAAGATATTCATGCAAGGTTTAAAATCAAGGAGGTTTGCAATGTAAGCATTAATTAGCCTCAAATTTCAAATCAACATCAATGATATCTCAATCCATGATTCACATTAGCAGGCCACAGCTGATTTTGAATGTGAAAAAGACAAGAATAAAATGTGAAACTTGTTAATTGATAAAACAACTATACAACTCTTACATTTGTTGTTTGTTGATGATAATGATCTCACAGTCTATTGGCGCTTCAACAGGCTTACCAGCCGGTGGAGCATATGGATCACGAGGTAGTGGTACAAAGTCATAATCTGGTCGTAACTTCTTCGCTGGAACCTCATCATGAGGCCGCCCATATGAAGAGCTTGCAGGTCTGTCTGAGGAATCTGAATGTTCATCCCTGTAGCGATCTCTGGCTTCTCTGTAGCCGGGAATAGCGAATGGATCATCGCCATATCGTCTGCCTGCTTTGGGTGATGGAGAACGGTCTCTAATGAAAGAAAGAGAAGTTGTTGCAACAAAGTTCAAAAGTTGAATTGCAGCAGGGAACCTGTTTTAATGATATATGACTTTGGGACATAGATTGTTAAGAAGACGACTGACAGCTTGTCATGGTAATAGACAAACTATTAATAATTCTTCTTGTTTCTCTAGCACATGAGTGAAAGTCAATAAGCTTGACACAAAGAGCTTACAAACGGCAAAACATGTGCATAAATACCAGCTAAGATTTGACAAATGACTATAGATTTTGGAACAAAACTGCAAGCACTTTTCATGGGAGGTTAATGAAAGATATATTGCATTACCGTGGCCTACCACCAGGATAACCCCTCCCTCTTCCCCCACCACCTAAGATTGGTGGACGCCTCTCTTTTCGTCTGTCACCAGCCAAATTCACATCTAATAATAAAAAACATTTTTCTCACGTCATAGATAGATAATGCACAATCCCAGCAAATTTAAACCGTACTGCAAAACATTTGCAAAATAAATCCTTGAACCACATACCAACTTTTTTATCCTTGATAATGGAGCCATGTTCCTTTGCAACGGCAGCATCAGCACTGGCTTCTTTTTCATACTGGACAAAACCATATCCATTATGGACTGAACAACCAATGACACGTCCATGTTTAGCAAAGATATCTTCAAATTCCTGCCGGGAGAGATCCTCAGTTGCTAGGTTTCCCACGAATACTCGACAACGGATAGACTTAGTGTCATTCCGGTTTGTGTCGTTAGGACGAGTGGTAACACGAAAATCACGATCTTTCCTATCCTCGCGGTCCTTTCTATCCTCACGGTCCTTTCTATCCTCACGGTCCTTTCTATCATCTCGTCTTTCCGAACTCATGTTTGCTGGTTGTACATGTAATTAACCAGAATGCCCCAAATACCTAGCACAGCAAATAAAGTCGTACTCAAATGTCATTCATATTAATATATTATTCATACAAACTTCCAAAACACTCTGGTTTCAATTCTTGATGAAAACAATGAAAAATGGAATTGGGACTATTTGGTTTATAAACAACCACCCCAAGTTCCATCCTTATTATATTTTCAGTTAGACTACATTTTTATTGAGCTAATACTGCTCTTTATTTCTAATACAATGACACAAATTCTGCCAAATATCTTTACAAAAATTTTCTGTCAAATATCTTTACAAATTTCACGCCTTTGTATGTAGGATAAGGTCAGACACGTGCTGACAAAATTATCTCTGTAGATTTTTCACAAAATTGTGTGTTTCTATTCTTACCCTTTCCTACGTTTCTCGATTTCTTCGTAAAGGAAAAGATTCTCCCCTCGCGGACGAAACTGCCCAATAAAATAATGAAAAATTGTACGAAATACAATTCAAATCCGAACGTATATTTGATCAAGTAATCATGATATTCAAGATTGATTAAAGAATCAAGATGGCGACATGTGAGGGATATCTGTTTCACTGCGGGATACCGCAGGAACTTTGTTGTCAATCCGGGGCATAATTTGCGGGGAATATGCTAATCATTAAAAAGTTTTTTTACAACCTTTTACACTCAAAATATATTTTTCCTTATTATATATAATCATAAAATTCATCTCCTGAAATTTCATAGTAAAAACATGTTATTATTAATTTGATTTAGCTGATAAACTCTTGTTATTAATACATTGCTCTAAAGTTTTATATCTCTTTGCCATTACATCATACAAATCTTTATTTTCGACTCTTGGTGTTACAGCCAAATCATATTGCTCATTTTTAGGAAAAATTTCATCATATTTCACATCAGTTGTCCCAGACCAGCCATGTTTTGCACGATATGCACAGCCAAGGCATGCTGAGTTAGCTGTCCCAGGAATTGTGAAGACCGGGGCATGAAATATATCCGACAAAACTTGAAGGATGGCTTGGTTCTGTGAAGCACCTCCTGTCGCCAAAATGCGAGAGTCTTTATCTGTATCACAAAAGGCAATTTTACTTATTAAAGAATAAAGAACGTTGAGGAACAAAGTTACAGATCAATAGTTTTAAAAAATATATGCCACTCACCCACTGTAAGACCTAAATCCTCTGCATGAACACGTTTAGCCAAAAACTGACCTTCTACCAGTGCCCTTATCTCCTCATCATTAGTAAAGGATTGAACCTCAACATCATTCTTATCAAACCTGTATACACCTTGTGCAAAAGGTGTTATTTCAGTTTCATGAAAATATATCCCAATATTGCCACTATTTCCAGGAGGACTCCTGCTAAGACTTTGGCCAAAGATTTCCCAAGAACCATCTGAGCACTGATCCCGAACAGATTCACGTACAAGGGATCCATTCTTGAAGCATAGAAGAGCCATGTAAGCATTTTCTAAAATGAAAAGAAAAAACATTTGTGCAAAAACATATATATACCTAGAAATTTTTGTCTAGAAACAACTGTTTTGAACCAACTTACTATCAACTGGATTTACAAAGATATGCCCTTTCACAGCTGGTTTTGGAGTATTGAGCCAAAGCATTAGTGTATCGCTTGTGCCAAGACTTATACAGATATCAGTTTTTTGCAATCGAACACCAGCTAACGAGGCAGGATTATCACCGGTGAATGCAACAATTTCACAGGATTTATGAAAGCCGTATCTTGAACAGAGGTATTTAGAGATTTCACCAATTCCTTGCGATGATGGAACAAGGTCTCCTAATTTCTTTTCTAAATTTGGGGCACATGCCTTGGGGATAGATAAGAATATCATAAGGTATTAGAGCAGAATTTGGGACACTGAATTTTAGCTGCAGATAGTGAAACTGCCATATATTGTACCATACCTGAAGACAGACTGATTCCCAAGTTTTGGTATGTATATTCATGAGGTTCATTCCTGACCCATCACTGTAATCAATTGGTGCATAATCACCAAGAAACAGGGATGCTAAGAAACTGCTGACTAGAGATATATGCTCACATTCATCGTATGAAGCTGGCTTAGTTTGATGGATCTTTGCAATTTGATTTCCAGTGAATCTTTCATAAGCACGAGATCCTGTGATCTCTGCGAGTGCCTGAGCTCCGCCCACCACTTGCTCTAGAGCACGGCATTGAGCTGTTGTGCTTGAATCCATCCATATGGGAGAGTTGTCAATTGCAAATGATTCCTTTGAAAATATACAAATCTATGAATTATGATGAAATTGACATTGAGGCATTTCTTCTCTGTTATCTTAACCTTACTTGGAAAATAATGCTTTGCAGTTATCCCAGACTTGAATACAAGTCAGGAATAGCTTATCGCAGTAATTGGGCATTGTGAAGAAGACTTATTTTGACCATTGACTGACTACCTTTAGCTGCTCATAGAGACCCTTGCTAGGGTCTAGGTTATTCAAACGTGTTTTTGTACCAGATTTCCAATACACGCTACCATGTTGTTGTCCAGTACCAGAGATACACGCAACGTCTACAAAAGGAAATCCTTTGCTTTTCATTCTCTCCATCAGCAAGTCCAAAGCCTTCACCCACATCAGAGTGGGAGCAGTGACCGTCAATAAGTCTGCGTGTCTTTGGACACCACCCTGTGTCTTGAACTCTGGAAGGTCTCGGTCAAAATTTACGACTTCTTCAGCGATAATGCATAATTCCTTATCAACAGCGATAAGTTTGAGCTGCTGGGTACTTAAATCAAGGCCTAAAAATGTGTTTGGTTTGTTAGAAACCATTTCTTCTACCATAGCTTCTACTCACCAGTTACCACTGTTTACCTTCATCTATATTCAACAGTTACTCCAAGTATTTATAAAATGCTTTTGGGTCTCGCTGGCTCAAGTCGTCATTGTTTATTATTTATAATTATTGTTCATTGTTTATTATTAGGAATTCAGAATTTTGTAACGATAAGAAATATTTTAAATCAATCTCCTATGCCTACATCTATTATGCCTGCATTTTTTCAAAATTTTCATTACCCTTTGCATATTGTTTTTGTATTTAGTAAATATTATATAATAAAGTAAATAAATTGTAATAATTTAATATTATTATATAATTTATGATAAATAATTTGATGTTCCTGTTCGCTGGCAAAAGAAGAATGTTTACCACTTTACCTTGTCATCCTCTGAGGTTTCATTTTTATTTTGTACAATAAAACATTAAATGGAAAAAGAAAAACGAATACAAGATTGGGGAATTCCGGAGGATCTAGTTAGAAAAACGTTTAGTAAGTTGGATTGGGAAAATGCTAGTTAACCATCGCTGCAAACGAATCGACACATGGGTTGTTGCAGAAGTAAACATGATTGCAATGAGACAGCGATTGAGATAGGAAATTCATTGAAAACATCCAGAACTTCCAGCAAAGAAAGCAGAAATGTTGTAAAATTTGACGAAGAAGATATACGTCAACCTACAGTCAGCGAGTGGCCTCCAAACGACCATGAAAACAGGTCAAATGTACAGAATTTGGTCTTGGATGTACTCGACGTTGTTCGTAAACTCACCGAGAGGTTTGTTTGGCTAAGACGATGATCGCTGTTAAATCGTATATCAACAAAAATTCCTTTGTTTAAATCGGAAACACTAATGACTTCCATTCCTTTTATATCAATATGTAGATAAACATGGTGTTGATATATGTAACTATAGTAAATTGCAATTCCTTCTTCCCAATATGTACTGATAGCGTCTGCACACAGGAAGTGATTACAGCGGATCTTGTGCACAGGCTGGTTTAGATGCTGTGATTTTTTTCAGCCTAACCTTGATGCAAACAAGCGAAATCTAGACTATGCCCAATGTGATGACATCAGTATCCGTACAAAAAAAAACAATATTTCATAAAAAAGAAGAATGGCCAATTTCTGATCCAAAACAAGCAAAGTGGTAGCTCTGCACTGATCTACATTACCTCTTTCAGAAAAACAAATTCATACAATTAAACCCAGTGTGCGATATACCCAGTTTGCCTGCACGACTAAAAATTATTACCTGTACTAAGTTGACCGAAACAAAGGCTTAAGATAAAATTGTATTTGTAGTTTTCTAAATAAGTGTTTTTGAATACATATATTTAGTATAGAAGAGCCTCCGCCATGTTTAAAGAAACTTCACGAAATTGCAGAGAAAGGTAGGCAGGAATATGTTGGAACATAGTTCAAATCTATTGCAAATCTTCAGAGAAATACTAAAGGAAAGATTTTTGAATTCAGAAAGTGGATGGCTCGACATGGTGATGGCCTGTGTTAAAATGATTCCAATAGGAAATGACCTTGGTCCAGCTGTGATATCAATATTGTTAGATGAATGCTCACTGGCACCTAAGGTAATGAAGAAACATTCAACAAAGAAACATTCAACAAATTTATTTTTAAAAAGTCACCAATTTATCATATTTTTATAGCCTACATTGTACAAACTGTTGTGCTACTTTGGTTTAACCTCTGAGAGAATACAAAATTCCCCAGAGATTCAATTATCTAATAGTGAGGTACAAAGGAATATGGCAATTGTGTTAGGGAGTTTGGCTGAAAAATTGGCAGGTAAAATATTGGGACTTCTTCTGCAAGTCTTAATAGCTAGTAGAGAAGATCAAAATGGCACCTCATGTGGTGTATTTTCACAGGACCTCAGAGTGCTTGGCTGATGAGAGAGGAAGTTCTACAATTTCTTTTATCCAAATTGGTAATTTGTTAAGTTGTATTGTAACTTTTTGTGAAAAATTATCCCTACTAAGATTTCTTACTTTCTAGAGGATAAAAGAGCATCCATCTGTCGTGCTTTTTTCAATAATAACCCTGGAGAAATTCGCAAAAACAAGTAGGTGTTGTTGGGACACGAGTTCCCAACAAGAAATGCAATATGTGAAAAGTGTTTTCTTTGCAATTTTTTTTTATCAAATTGCCAATTCGGCCTGCGTTTCTAAATCTTTGCATACCCTAATGTTATACATTATAAAAGGCACTCACTTAGTTGAATAAAATCCATAGATAATTTGTTTTTCTCAATAGATGAAAATAAAGAGAAGATAAGATCCACAAATATATCAGAACGACTTGCAGAATTTGAGAGTACTTGGTTGAACAGCCACAATGTTATTGAGCACCAAGCTGGTTTTTGTGCTCAATGGTGTCTTGACAACTCATGTGAGTTAACATGGAGTTATAATTGTGAGATGTTTGAAATATTTACAAAAACCCTTGTTGATAAATTACGCGTTTATAATCGTATTTCTTTTTCTCACAGTTCCACTGAAGGTAAGATACAAGCTGTACATGTGGTAAAAATCTAATTTAAACCACTGGTGCTACGAAATTTTTACCATATTCCTCCACCAACTACCATTAATGCCTACCAATTCATCAGGATCGACCATACAGTTACGAGAATATGAACCTGGATGGTATAAACGCTATGTTGAACGTTAACGACGTGAGCACGTATCTGAAAATATCTCCTCAAGGCCTGGAGGTACTTGTACAGGACTGCTGAGTTTGAAGAATTTAAATATGAAAACTTACGATCATTTTCGAAGTTGTGTTCCTAGCATTTACTTTAATGCCTTGATTTTATCGAACTTCTAGGCAAGAAGTGACGCATTTTCGTTTGAAAGTGTCAGGTCAACATTTTCTGTCTCATCAGGTAAGAACGCCACGTTTCTATCGGTTGGAAAATCTGCGTGGTGTCAGAAAATAATTAGCAAGCTTTTTCAACTATAGGTACATGGTACTATGAAGTCATTTTATTGACTTCTGGTGTCATGCAAATCGGTTGGGCAACGAAAGAAAGTAGATTTCTCAGCCATGTAAGAATATAAACAGTTTTTAGTTTTCTCCCTGGTTCCAGCAAAAAGCTTACCTACTTTACAGTGCTTATTCTTTCAAATCATAGGAAGGCTATGGCATTGGCGATGATATAAACTCTATAGCATTCGATGGTTGTCGGCAGTTGATTTGGTTTGACGCCGAGAGCTTTCCTATCTCATGTACAAAATGGAAACCTGGTACACAGAATAAACACATTCATGCATGGACACTTGTATAAATTCAGACCTATCTGTTTTGAGGTGTTGTGATTTCATGCTTTGAAAATTAGTACTTACGTCCATATTCCTCTTCTTTATCTTCCAAAGATGACGTTTTAGGATTATTACTGAACATTGATGAAAATAAAGTGATATTCTATTTGAACGGAGCCGCTATTGAACGCTATTTTCCCGCTAAAGATAGGTGAATTGATAAACTATCCTGCACGCTAGACCTTGATTGTGAAAAATTGAAATTCTCCAGCTAAATGCCTCGTGTATTTCTTCTTTCATTTGTTTTCACAGAGGGGCCTTTTTCGCCGCGGCAAGTTTTATGTCTTTCCAGCACTGTAAATTTAACTTTGGAGCAGATCCATTCAGGTATATGCCGGTATTTCTATAAACAACCATACTCCATAGACAATTTTATAAAATAGATAGAATATTCATACTAAATTTTCTATATTTTTGTTCTATGAACGCGTTATAGATACCCTCCAAACGTGCCGTTCCGCAAATTCAATGATCATTCCAAACTATCAGATGAAGAAAAGAAAATTCTTCCTCGAAGGTATCAAAAACTTTCGCATAAAAAAGGCGTTCAGACAGTTCAGTACAGCTACAAAAAATTAAACAAGTTATATGCATGCGTAAAAGTAGTCTTCCCTTGTTTATGTTTCATATAGGCACGTACAAATGGCGGAATTAAAGGACGAAAAATTTCACGCAGACTCTTGCACGATTTGTTACGAGCATACGGCAGATGCTGTTCTGTTGCCGTGTGAGCACAGGTAATGAACCATGTCAGTTGAACCGCAGAATATAACCTCGTTATACGAACCGAGGTTTTTAAGAAATTTAACCCTGTAGTCCTACAATAGTATTTTAAACGGTTAACATCAGCCGAGGTATGATTCGGAAGATTAACGTGACAATTTGATATGAAGACCAAACTTCTATGATTATAATCAACTATAGGAACGAGGTCGCTCGGAAGCTAAAACTAAAAACTATACTCATTGCTCTGGGTATAAGGTTGGTTTTACACTTTAAAGAATAAATTGAAGCGCTAAACAAGATCTTTTGTGTTTTACCAGAACAATATGTTACAAGTGTGCAACGAAACTGGAACAATGCCCTATATGCAGATGTGGCATAGAAGATATCGCCAAACAGATTGTATCAATGGTCTAAAAAGATCCCACTAAACATTTGGAATATGAAATATTTCAGCATACAGATCATTCTGGTTTCTCTGTTCTGCACAGAGCTGTTTCCTCCGATTGGAGAAATGTCACGCTCTGTATCGTTGCGTTGCGTGGAAACTATTTGAAAGTCAATATTTTAGTGAATAATGCAGAAGTAATTTCACTAAATCTTGGTGTTTAAAAAACGGCCAAAAGTTGAAAGTCAAATATATGGGTAGAAAATAATATATGTTGGGAGAAATAATGTAAAATTAAGTCAATATTTACGCTAGACCAAATGTTCAAATTGATATTTTCTTGCATTCTACGTAATGCATTTGGGTACTTTTAATACAAAACGTGAATTGAAATTAAATTATAATTTTAAAAAAGGTTGTATAGTTCTATGTTATAACAGCTTGTGACTCGTAGTGTTTAGAAACTTTTCCATGTAAAAGAAAACTACGTAATTTCATTGCGAGAGCATGTATGTATTTATTTATCAAAACTACAAAAATGCACATTAATGTCCTATTGTC